AGAAATGCAAGACTGGAAAAGAGAAGGCAGAGTCGGGGAGGCTTTATCTTCCCCCAGGTGCCATTTATGAGAGAAAAGGGAAGTCAAGACTCACTGCCAGCAGTGCTGGTGGGCTTGGCGGCAGAGAGAGTTACGTGAGTAGGGGTAGAAAGATTGGTTACGTCATGGAGCTGGCTGAGGACTGAAGACCGCCGGCGCACAGCACCCTGAAATGACCCGCTTCTCTTGAAGGTACTCACTACCTCCATCTGTGGGAGAGAAAATGAGATAAAGGTTGGCTTGCATGGAGGTCCAGGCTACCACACAGGGTGGGGCTGGGTGAGGGCAGGGGCCACACTAGGGACATATGGGGCCAGCAAAGCCTCAGCTAGGTCAGCCCCATCCCTGGAAGCTGACAATGCTTTTGACAAAGCCATGACTGAGAGAGGGTTTGCTGGGCAAATGGTTAGTGGTCAGAAGTGTGGGAGGGAAAGGTCACCGGTAGAAACACACTGCAAACATTTTGTAGGCAGTCACTTGCATTCACAATACGCTCATCCAGAGCCACTTGTCAATAAGTACCTGTGTCTGGAAATACTTCCTTATCCTACTTCAGTAGTTCTGAACATGTTTTCCGCCCCAACACACCTGAGGGATATGACATGCTCTTATTAGAAAGTGGAAGCATTCTCCAGTGGTATGTGGGCTGGAGGCTCTTGCCTGGATTCCTGGGAAATCACTGCCCTTGTTCACGGTCCTCTTAGCAGAGGGTCTCTTGCTCTGTCCTGCTTCACTGGTGTGGGGGATAGATAATCCCCCAGATTTCTGCAGCTCATTGAAGTGAGGGGGACCCTCAGCAGAAGATATATTTAGGCAGAAGAGGGGCTTCCAAGAGCACAGGCTTTGTCTTGTCAGAACTCTTCCTACAGCCCCAGGCATGGAGGCTGGGAGGACTGGGAGGCAACTGTGCCTTCTGCCTTGTTCCCACCCTTTAAGCTTCCTAGAAGATGAAGGGGAAGTACATATGTGGAAGATGAGACCCATGGGAGGGCCTTGTGGATAAATCCCGCTAGAAGCCTCCTGACTCATTTACTTTGGATTTTCTGACCCTGTCTTTGACTACGACATTGTGACAAACACAGGAAGTAGGGTCTGAAGGAACTGTAGCTGAGTAACCATATCCAGTGTTATGGCACTGGGAGACCACATGCCTAGACTCTGGGAGGCCAGAGGCAAGGCCCACTGGCAGCTTCCTCTCAGAGAATGGCCTCAGCGGGGAGAGAATCTTTGAGGGTGGATCCACCTTCTGGAAAGTACCATGTAGTTCACGGAATAGTATAAGCAGACAAGCCAACATGTATTTCTGGAGTCCAAAGACCCTTTACTGCCTGGTCCACCCAAAGCTCTGCAGTGGGAACTCAGTGGTTTCCAGTTTCCGCTGGCTTTCTGACAGGACTTCTACAAAGAAGCAGCTTCACTGTTGACACCTTCCTCCAAACAAAATGTCTTTCAACCTTGGACCCACTGTGGAAAGACTTGTCATCCTTCCATACAACCTGCCCAACGCAGCTTTTCACCCAGCATGACCCACTTTCTCACTCTTTTCCTCAAGAGAAGGTAGGCTCTGAGGCTGTGACTGCATCTGTGAGGAATATGTTGTACACGTGGTTGAGTATTTCATGGAAGAAAGATGTTTGATGTGGTGGTGTTGCAGACTCTAGGGTGTGGGGTTGTTTCTTTAGATTTCAGTGTTTTTAGGCTATGAAAAAGACAAGGGATGGGAAACCTGCCTTTGCTGCCTCAGTTTTGCATCAGTCTCCATGATGTTTTCTGTGATGTCCCCGTGGGGTAACCATATCTATGAAAATATCACCATCACCACCCTACCCCCACCAGAGGCCTCAGCACTGGCCAGGAACAAGGGCTCAGTCATTGGTAAAGAGTCTCATTAATTTATAATGGAATGCAAAAAAGACAGACCACATTATGAACATTCAAAAAGCTACATGTTCTAGGTTTGAGGCACTCTCTTTTATTGTAGAACAGCACCCTAGCATCTGGTGCATTGATACATTAATATAGAACAGTGGTGAGAGCGGGCATCAAGTTACTTTGTAACAGAAAATGTTGTGCAGGCCTCTGAAATCCGGGGAGCAATTTTGTGGTTCACAAGATCCAGAAATCTTGGGGCAGTTGCCTAGAAAACACATACAACCTGAAGAGCCTTCCACAGGCTTTAGTTCTGTTTTTACAAGCAGGTTTTTTGAATCAAATAGAATAAATTGAGCTTATTCTATTTGATTCAAATAGTGAATAAGTGACTGGTTCAGTATTCTTGAGAGGCATGGTGACTCTGACATGATAAAGCCACTTTGAAAAGTCATGGGAGTTGAGATCCCATGGGGGAACCAGTGTGGCTTTACTGAGGGCCGAGAAGTGTTCTTGAGGAACCTGTGCTATCCTTGGCTCTCACTGGCTGATTTTGGGCCACTCCCTCTTTCCCTGGAGTCCCATCTCCTTGCTTGCAAAGCATGTACATGGGCATGGAACAGTAGAATGACATGGAACACAAAGACTCCAAGTGGTGGGACCCACTTCTAGTTGGGCAGCGGTGGCATACCCAGGAGCTTACAGACACACAAAGATACAATATACATTGGTGGCCAGGCTACCACTGACACTAGGTTGGGGTAGGGTTGCTGTCTCAGCAGGTAGAAATGCTAACTCTTGCAGAGTCGGGGCACTGCTGTACTCTTTTCCTGTGCTTTGCATCAGAACTGGAGCATGACAGATAAGATCTGCCCTGAATCAGATCAGGATAGGGTACTGGGAGTGGTCACAGTCATAGTCTCCTGGAAGGTACAGTTAGATGGCCACATGCACACTGGGAAGATATGAGGGCTGTTTTCTGACATTTGCTGTGCATTTATGCTAGTGAGTAAACATTTATTACAGGAAACAAGTCAAAGCTACTTATTCTGCAGCCACGCCTGTCCTGGGCACTGTGTTGAAGGCACTGGCTCACCCCATGGAGAGAGGAGGCTTGGGCTAGGGATCTAATGGTGGCTCCCCTTTTCTCAGGATCCATTTGAATCATAGCTAGGGTAACATGGCTCAGATGTGGACCCAGTATATGCCTCCCTGGACACACTGGAGTCGGTTCTCAGGATGCTTGGTCCTTGAGGAATGCCTTCAACTTGGACTTTTTTGGTGCCACCTCACCCAGTCCTGAAGGATCCTGCTCTCTAAGTAAGTTCCCCCAAGGAATTCTGGCATGCTCAGATTCAGTGTCCTGGCCTCAGTTGTACAGATGGCCCATAGTGGTAGGAGGGGGTAGTATGTGAGAAGGCATAGACTTGGCAACATTTAAGTAGGCTTTTATAGCATGGAAAATGAGCCCTGAGAGTACACAGCAGCAAGCAGGGAGGCACAGCAGTGTGGGTGGGCAGGGTGTACATCTGGAAAAGCAGCACAGAGTCATAGGGAGAGAGAGAGAGAGAGGAGTGGAGTGATGCCAAGAAGCTGGAGCTCGAAGACCACAGTCAGAAGCTGAAACTTCATCCTGGGGATAATGGAGACAAGCTCCACAGGCCTCAGGGTGGCATCAGAGGAGCAGGCATGAACAAAGACAGATGGAAGGCAAGGAATGATCCCAGTGGCAGGCATACCCACAGAGCCTAAAAGGGAGAAGAGGGGCACTCTCAGGATAGATACCATTAGATCACTTTGGGTTGTACTGGAGTAGCTGTATGTACCTTGGAGCCCTGAGGACAGTCTGAGTATGAATTCTGGACCATGTGTGGCAAGACAGCTGGAAGAATACATGGGGAGGCATGTGAAACCAAGTACTGTCCCAGTGAATGAGTTGCCAAACAGACTCAAGGAGAATCTACCCAGCTGGTTCTGCCTTAGCTGGTAAGTTCCCAGAGAGGAAAAGTGATTGTACCTACAACAGAGGTAGTGACAGTGGCATCAGAGAGAAGGTAGCCAAGGCCTTGGATGAGAAAAAGACAATGAGTAAAAGTGCCAAGGTAATTTAGAGGATACCAGCTAGGCCATAGGGAATTGCCTACAGGTCAGTCCAGGAGGCTGCAATGTGAGGAGGTCTGGTGACCTGGTGGGGTGTTTGGGCTCAGACAGTTCCCTAGCAGGCTCTCCCAGGGATTTTCAGCATGGGAGAGCAGGAATGGAGTGGGAGGTAGAGATACCAGGAATATAAAGACAGAGAAGATGGAAACTCAGAAGGAATAGCAAGCTGTCAGTATTAGCAGGGCCAGCAACAGTTCCAGAGGGCAACTGGGAAGCATGGAGTGGAAGAAGGCCTTGGCAGACAGTGGTGAGAGCCATTAGTGGGAGTGGTGGGCAGTGCAATCATGAGAGGGTGTGAGGGGAATATGAAAATAGGCAGCAAGTATGGAACCTTCTAGTAAGAAAGCTGGCCAAGAAAGGATTGGGACAGAGAGCAGTGTAACCTGGTACATGGTTTTTTTTGAAGCCTTTACTACTGCCTCTTGTTGGCAGTCAGATGTTTTGGGGAACTATAGTTGATGGCTTTGGCCTTGACTAGCTTAGCCTATGGAGATTTGGGCCAACTTGGTCTTGCACAGTAATTCCAGCAGACTCTAGTGAACAGAGAGCCAGCCAAGGGCTCTGTGAAAGGGACATTTTCCTCCTTCACACCCAAATGCAACTTGTCTATTACCTGAGCAGCTCTTACCAAGAAAAGCAGACAGTGCTGGTTTGTATCCCTGAGAGAGCCACTAGCTGCTAGCACATGTTATTATTCAGTTATGAGAGAAGCTACCTGGGTACTGAGGGAACTGTTATGGAGAGGTGATCTAAGTGGGTGGCCAGCCAGTGGTGGGCACCTCTATGTATAGGAGAGGAACTAGACACTGCCTCTGTATGCTTGGGGGCCAGATCCAGGGAGTTTCCTGCTGGCTTTGGGGTCTGTATGCCCAGTTTCTGCCTCTTGCCTGCTTTTTAAGGCAACAAAATAGTCACATGGAACAGCAGCTTACCTGTGTCTGGATCCGGTTGAGGCCCCGGAACCAGAGGATCTGGCCTCTGCGGAGCTCTCGCTCAGCATGGTCGATTTCCTCCTCTCCCTCAGCCAGCTCCTCATCAGTCATCTCGTCCTTCCCAGGCCCATGTCCTGCTTCCTTCAGGCACTTGAGCTGGCTGGTGGGGATGGTGGCAATGACCTGGAAAAGCCACAGTCAAAGGGCAGCAAACAGAGGTGGCCATGACAGCAGGCTGTACTGTGGCCAGGAATAAACTAGGGGCCCCATTTCTCAGAGATAAAGCCCATATCCCGGGCTTGGCAGACCTTAAACTACTCCTTTCCTTGTAGCAGACTCCTGCTCCACAGAGTCTCATCCAGGGCCAGGGAGCAGAGAAACCAATGTATGGCGAACCATGTGAGAAAGACAGTGCTTGCCTTTGGCCACTCCTGAGAAGGATCTTGATATGCATGGGGCATCCTTCCTGAGAAGAATGGGCTCAGTTAGGGCCTTGGGCCACCTGCTAGTGTATGTATTCCTTATGGGACACAGAGGGGATGGATACTGAGGCCATCCATTTGAGTACTGTATAGTACTCACTATATCCACGTGATTGACCTCACAGAAAAACTGCACACCAGTTCTCAGGTGAGCTTCCTAGCTGATAGCACTCCCCATCTGCTGGCCTTCATGGTTGCTGGAAGAAAAGCTGACTGCCATGTTCTCTAAGATTGAGCTCCATGGAAGCTTTTGCCTGGCATTTTCTGGAGAAAGTACATAGAAAAGGGCTTGTGATCAGGGGCCTCGGGGGAGGAAGAGGTGACAAGAAGGGAGGGCTGGGATGCGCCTTTCACTGTCTGGGTAGAGGATGGTAGGTCATCCTGTTCCTCTTAGGTTCCTGTCAGCATGACAGGAGTGGCTTTAAGGTTCTTCATGGAGATTCCTTTTTTCCTAGTTTTGTCACTTTGAATGTGTATTATTTTTATAATTAAAAATACCCTGAGCTACAGGCAGGCAGCATGTATCCAGGGGAGAATTGCAGTGGCTATTACATCAGGGAGTTCAAACATTAACTAGAGGCTGGCATGGGCAGGGCAGAGTGGCGTATATGGAGTCTAGACTGTAGAACATGAAGGGATTCCATTGGACTGTCAGGCTTAAGTGTTACAGTAGGGAGGTGCAGTGATGGGAAAAAAAGAGATTTCTTAAAAAGGAGATGGAAAAACTGTGTGAGTTGTCTCTGATGATTAATGCCAGGGGCCAGCAGAGGCTAGTATCTGCTGTAGTCGAAGTGGTCTCTGTGGCCAGCATGGTAGGGACACACACCAATGGATAAAGAAACAAAATTCATAGTGTTATAACCTAAATGATACCCCCTTACCCCCTAGTGGTAAGCCCTAACCATCAGTTTGGAAGTACTGGGAGAAGGAAGATAATAGAGGTTAAATGAAGTCATTTGGTTGGAGCCCTGATCCCACCAGATTTGTGCCCTTATGAGAGGAGATACCAGAGAACTCCCTAGGAACACACTGTAAGAAAGTAGCTAGTCAGAAGTCAGGAAGGTACCCCTACCAGACACTGAATTAGCTGTCCTTGATCTTAGATGTCAAGCTTCTAGAGCTGTGAGAAAATACATGCCTTCCATGTAACCTGCCTGTCTTTAATAGTTTGCTGCGACAGCCTGGGCTGATCAAGACCCAAAGAGAAGAAGATCCTGGATGTGGCTTCCTATAACAGTGTTCCTGAACTCTGGAGAAAATGCTTTCAGTGAACCATGGAGGGGGCTGGCTTGGTGCCTAAGATTGTACTGGCTGCTGACACCCAAGATGTTACTTCCTGATCTCATCATTGGGTGCTACAAACTGCTCCTTTGGGGGCAGCTGAGGCTTTCAGGTCTGCAAGTGTTGTCCTGCCATTTTCCATTTAGTCAAAACACCTCATTTTTCTCAAGCTCTCTTTGTTCCACAGATTTCATAGCAGGGTGTTGTTTAATTTCAAATACATTGGGACATCCCAAACCTCACAGGCTGGCCTGCCTTCTGTCTTGTTTTTTGTACTGCTGGGGACAGAACCAAGAACTTTACGAAAGCTAAGTAAATGCTCTATACCCAGATACACTGCAGTCCCCCAAATATACAGGTTTAGCAGGCAATTTTTAGCTTCTACTATGGGGAAGGAAACTGGATGATTCCCAGGATAGTGCGACATTTCTGCTCTATGTTCTCATTCCTGAGGTTGTCACTTGTGACCTTGCCCCCAGGTTATAGTATGTCATAGGCCTGAGCCTGAGTACACACCACACACTTTCCAGGTCATAGGCTCCAAGATTTTGGGGCAGGGAGTAAGGATAGGGGGAGGCATAAGTGGGACAGGATGCTTGGCTTCTTACCCACTCTGAAGGCCATGAACAGAAGCAACCAGAATGAAAGCATTGGTAAGAAAGTTGATGAGGCAGACACTCACCTGTCCCCAGACCAGCTCCCCAACACCAACAAATAGGCACCAGAGCCACTGTTCTGTGGACAGTGGGGAACAGCTGAAGGGCTTCCCACCAAACTGGACGATGACAATCTGGGGGAAGGAATGGAAAGTGGTGGGCAGAGAAGTGTATTACCAGGGTAGCTCTTGACTTCTCTGTATTCTGCTCAGCCCTCTACAAACCTTTTCTTCCAGATTGACTTTGCCTCCTGGGAGCCAGATCAGCCTGGCCATAGGCAAATGTTTTCTGGCTTCCTGCCTTTTTGGTAGACTCTGGGAAATGCCTTGGCATTTCTTATCAGCTCATTCTCCTCTTTTGTCCATCAATAAATGCCTAAAGATGGTTCCCACAGACTAGCTGCCCACAGGCCAAAGATACCAGGATGGGTCAATGTGTAGCTTCACATGCTGACACCCAAACCCACCTGCTATCTGGTGCCTCCAGCCTCCAGGTGAGACTCAGATGTTTGGACCATCTTTCCAGCTTCAGCAAGACTGTTTTCTTATTTGCCTGCTCTGCATGACCCTATAGTATGAGGGTCACCCTGCCTTGGCCTCCTGCCTTCCTTTCTGTCTACTTTAGGAGAAGTCCTACACCCAAGGGCAATATTTTTAAATGCTAACTAACCAGTTCATAGTGTATAACCCAATCTATCTCAGAGCCAGTTTCCAGGCAACCAGGGCCAGTCTATACCCTGTGGTGGGTTAAAATGATTTATGCTAGCCAAGATAAAATCTGTTGACCCTCTCATTCATTTGGTCCTGGGAAGCCACAGTAAAATTCCCCTCTCATTAGTTCCTTACTGGCATTTGTGGGTGGCCACCAAGGTATAACGTGCCCCTCCTCTTGGGATCTGTGAATGGTGAACTGCATTTGTATGACAGCCATTTCCTGATTTGTGGGACTTACTATAAATGAAATTTTGTTTGAACACACTATACTTTAGAGCATTCAGCCCCACCTGTGGGAGCTGAGCTTGCCAGCTTGCCAACCTGCCCACAGTGTTGTGGCAGCCAAAGTTTAACATGTCAACCATGTGCACGACGAGCATTTCTTAAAGAATCTATAGTTATAGAAAACTAAGGAATTAGGTGCTAGAAATGGAGATGGTTGACCCAGAGAGAGTCAGAGAAGAATATTTCTAGCAACCATGTGAGCAGGATGGGAAGATAAAGGCCTTCCATAGCCCTTTGGAATCTAGTAGGTTAGACCAAAATGAGCCCAGCAATGTTTGGAAGATGAAGAACACCTGCTCTAGAACACAGAAGAGATTTGCAGACAGTGCCCCTACACCTTCATGGCCTACCTGAATTCCAAAGGTGCCCAGGACAATGGTGCAGAAGATGGGGTTGCTGAAGATGCCATCGAAGACATTCCTCTCACCATGAATCTTGCGAGCATTGATCTCATTAAAAAGCTGCATCATGACGAAGGTGTTAAAAATGATGGTATAGTGCTCTGAGGGTGGCGAGTGCAGGGGTGCATTCCTTCCACTATCAATGTCAAAGAAGAGCTCTCCTGAAGGGAAGAGAGAGGCAGGGGCTGAGGAGGGAGATCTCTTAGCACTAGTGGCCACTCTCCTTCACCATATCTGCCTCAAAGATGTGCAGTAGGGCACATGGTGAAGCAGGAAGGTATGGGTCAAAGGTATAGAGCAGGCCTGTTCTTTTCTGTCTGTAAGTGATGTATCCCATCCTGTGCCAGACTGAGGTTACAGACAGGGCCCAAACATGAGGTTGTAGTATGAATCTTAAAGGGTCTTATTAATAAAAACAAACTTGAAGTCAGGTATTCTGGTGAATGCTGGAAGATCAGAGAAGCAGAACAAGCCACAGCCACCTCACCTTGCCAATTCCTCAGCTGATCCTGTTTCCTCAGACTGGAGGAAACCTCTGAGTCCTCATCCAGAATGAATCTCAGCTGAACTGTTGCTCAAAAGCCTAAAAGCTTAACCAGGCCAAAAGCTTAACCCCCTCTAGTTCCTGGTCCACACGCCTTAAATACCTTTCTGCTTCCTGCCATAACTTCCTGAGATTAAAGGCATGTGTCACCATGCCTGGCTGTTTCCAATGTGGCCTTGAACTCACAGAGATCCAGAGGGATTTCTGCCTCTGGAATGCTAGGATTAAAGGCGTGTGCTACCACCACCTATCCTCTGTGTTTAATATTGTGGCTGTTCTCTTCTCTGACTCCAGATAAGTTTATTAGCATGCACAATATTTTGGGGAACACAATACCACTACATGAGGCCACAACAACAGTGTATTGAAAACCTTGTATATGGGCTGAAGCGTGTGCCTTAGGTCCAACTTACCAACAAAAAGCAAGGTAAAGATAATGGTGAGCTGGTAGACTGCATGGCCAAGGATGTTCTTCATCATGGTACGTGAGATGAGGGGTTTGTCCCGGCCATATGGCTTCCGCAGCAGCAGTGACTCAGTTGGGGGCTCCGTTGCCAGGGCAAGTGAGGCAAATGTGTCCATGATCAAGTTCACCCACAACATCTGCACAGCTTTGAGAGGAGAGTCCTGCAGAGAGGGGGCAGTTACCTTTCTATGTGCTGGCCATGCAGGATCACAGAGAAACCTTGGGATGGTACAATATGAAAGCCTGCCACTATTGAGAAGCTCAGCTTTGTGAATATCATGCCAATGCGATCTGGGAATCTCATTCCCAGAAGCCTGTCACACAAGTTTCCTCAGGCTTGCAGATGTTTTCCATTGGGCTTCCAAATTACCACTTTCCTCTCCCTCTTCTTGCCTGGTGGCAGTGATCTCAAAGGTGTGGTCTGAGGCCTTTTCAGGAACTACAAAGTCCCAACTAGTTACCAGGGCTTTCAAGATAGCCCAATAACAGCAGCCTGCCTTTGAAACCAGAGTCTCTCACCTCACAGGGCAGGAAGAGGCAGAAATGTTGACCCCAATCTGCTTTCTCATCATCCCCATTGAGTGTCTCTTTAAAAATCAGCGTTGCTGGGTGGCAGTGGGGTGCACACCTTTAATCCTAGTACTTGGGAGGCAGAGCCAGGCAGATCTCTGTGAGTTCGAGGCCAGCCTGGTCTACAGTGAGATCCAGGACAGGCACCAAAACTACACGGAGAAACCCTGTCTCAAAAAAAAAATCAGCTTCATAGGATCTGAATGTATAACACCATGATGAGTGAGTGAATGAAATCAAATGAACTGAGAAATTCACATACAGAGAAAGCAGACGAGTGTTTGAAAGGTTGGGGAGGCAATGGGGAGTGGCTGCTAATGGGTGTGAGGTGTCCTCTGGGGACCATGAGAATATTCTGAGAGTAAATCAAGGTGATGGTTATACAACACTGAAAATGCCAAAGCCTGGGATTCTGCACTTTCAAATGGCTAGGATGGTTACTATGATATCATTCATACTTGACTTAGATATCAAGAAAAAGTACCTGAGGGGCTGGGAAGTTAACTCAGTCAAGTGTTTGCCTTACAAGCATGAAAATCTAAGCTCAACTCCTAGAGTCTGTATCAAAAAAGCTTGGCATGGTGGTGTGAATTTGTAATCTCAATGACGGGAAGATGAAGATGTGAGGATCTGTAAGACTTGCTGCCTAGCTAGCCTGTCCTAATCAGTGAGGCTCGGGTCCTATTGAAAGTCTGTCTCTTAAAAAACAATGTGGAAAGCTACCAAGGAACACCAGAGGTTTACCTCTGACCTCTACATGAACATGAATATAGGTGTATGTACACCTTGCCAACACACACACACACACACACACACACACACACACACACACACACACACACACACACACGCTTGAAAGGACCAAGATAATTACCAAAAATAGTTAACTACTTTTTGACAATAAAGTCAACCATCACTAACAAGAAATCAATAAATTCTGGCCTCCAACCAATGGGGAGGATGAAAGCATTGAGAAAGAGGAAATCTAAAGTTTCTCTGTGACTCAGTCATTCTACTCCTAGATCTAGACCCAAGAGAGTAGAAGACATATGCACATTGAAACTTGGACATGAGTGTTCTTAGCAGCACTACTCACAATACAATGAAGTGGAAGTGGCTCAAAGCTTGGTCAGCTGATGAATGACAAACAAAATGGGGCTTATTGGACTATTGTGCAGCTATGAAAATGAATAAAGCATTGGTCCAAGCTGCAACATGGATGAATCCTGAAAACATGCCACATGAGATGCGGGGTGCAAAGGCCATATGTCAAATCTTCAAATTGGCACAGTGGATAAAGGCATAAACATAATGGCCTGAGTTCAATTCCCTGGGACCCACATGGTGGAAAGAGAGAATTTATTTGTACAAGTTGTCCTCTGGCCTCCACATGTGCACTGTAGCACATATATGTGCCCCCTCCCCTTTGCAAAAACTGTAAAAACAAACCCCAAAAGGCCACATGTCATTTCACTCCACTGATACAAATTATCTACAATAGGCAAATAAATACAGGCAGAAAGAAGTGACAGTTGTCAGGAGCTTGGAGGGGGATGGGGTATGACTGCTAGTAGGTGAAAGGTTTCCTTTAGGATGGATGAGTGTGTTTTGGAACTATATGGAAGTGATGATTGACACTGTGAATATACTAAAAAATCTACTAAACAGCTACCATGAACAGATAAGATTTTTGGTATGTGAGTTTGATTTCAATAAAAAGAATCTGAAGTAAACAAAATACTTGCTCTCAACATAGCCCTCTTGAGCCCACACTACTACTCTTAGAAACCAACTGCCTTCTGTAGGCCCCTGGTGCCCACCTGAGTGATGCAGGCACCTGTGAAGGCCACGATCACAGCCACCACGTTGACTGTCAACTGAAACTGCAGAAACTTCGAGATGCTGTCGTAGACATTGCGACCCCACATGACCGCTTTGACAATGCTGGTGAAGTTGTCATCGGTCAGGATGATGTCAGAGGCCTCCTTGGCCACATCAGTGCCTGCAATGCCCTGGGGGATGGTACACAGGCACAGTGCTCATTTCTCAACCCCTTCTTGGCCACCCAGCCCACCTGGGAGGGTCCCCTGCCTTTCTCTTCCAAATAAAGCCTTAATTGAACAGTACTTGTTTTAATCTAACACATTCTGTGCTGCAAACTGCATGTTGTCACATGTGGCTGTGAGGTGGCCTTTGCTGCTAAACAACACAATTGCTAACAACATGGCCATCTGTACAGCCTCCCACAAGGCCCAGCTGCCACTGGGTAGCTACTCAAAAGTCCTTTGTCTGGCTACCTGAAGATGCCCTGAGAAATGTGGGCTATCTGTTTGGGTTGGGTAAAGGACCCATCCCCTGGCTGCTTGGGAGATTCTTGCTGCTCTACCACACAAGCTTGGGCACAAGCAATAGACATCAAGTCTGTTGTAGCCCTCACCCACTCCATCTTGGACCTGGCCTTGTAACACCAGCCACCTTGGGAAGTTCAGCTTGCTCTCTACTCCAGGTTGTGAGGTCTAGGAATGCTATACTTCCTCACCCCACCACTGAACCAAATATGGACTGAGCAAAAGGTCCTCCTTTCTGCCAGGGTGGGGAAAGGTGACACTAGGTTGCTAGCCACTGTGAGTTGGGGACAGGGCTCACCACGTGGGCAATGCCTAGAAGGCCTAGAAGGCTACCTTGCTCAGTAAGAAGAGCTAGAGCTGTATGAAAAGAAAGAGAGAAACCAGAGGAAGAATCCACTGTGGTCTCTGCTCATCACTCTTGGGGCTAGGGGCTACTTGGAGTGGACTGAGAATAGGTGACAGTGGGCAGATGCCATTGTTGACAAGCCATACAGCCCCAAGTGGTCAAGATGTGAGAGAAGGAAGCTTCTAGCACTCTGTCACCTGCACTGACACTGGCTCTCCACTTTCTGGTCCAAAGTTAAGTCCAGGAGAAACAGGATTTCATCTGTGTGATGAACTGGTATGGCACTAGGTGGCTTACCATGGCGAAGCCCACATCTGCCTTTTTGAGAGCTGGCCCATCATTGGTGCCATCCCCAGTCACGGCCACCACCTGCCGCTGCTCACCGGTTGTGCTGTCGATAATGCCTAGAACATAGAGTGGGTTAAGGTAGGGTTGAAGCTATCTGCCAAAGGTTGATATGGGCTGCTTCTGTACTCCTGGCCACTTATGGGATCAAGTCCTCAGGCTTTAATGGGATAACTTCATCCCCCTATTTCCACCAAGGCCCTTTGCTCAGTAACATAGTCTGGCATGATTTGGTAGAGGAGAAGGTCCCACATTGTGTGCATTGGATGATTGTCTCCCTGTCCCAGCCTTAGTTTCCCCATTTGTTCCAATGAGGGGGCAGCTTCTACAAGCCATTATTAGTTTGATGTTTTCTAGTCAATAGTCTCTAGATTCTTCCATTCAAGAATCTAAGAGCAGGTGACAACATGCAGGGATGCCAGAGGCAAGTACATGTTGAAGAGGGTGAACACATTTGGTTACCTTTGACCAGAGTGTGTTTGTCAGTGGGAGATGATCGGGCGAGCACCCGCAGCTTGGGCCACACCTTGTCCAGCCGCTCCTGTTCTATCTGGAGGAAATAATGGAGACATCAGAGTCTAGGCACCTTGGCTGGGAGGGATGAGAAGATAGCAGAGGGATGGGAGAAGCAGCAGCCCGGGACAGAGATGCAGGGAGCTACCTCGCCTTTCTCGTTTCGAATCCTTCTGTTGAATTCCTTTCCTTCCAGGCACAGGAAGTCTTCGCCTGGGTGGATGATGCCACACTTAGCTGCAATAGCCCGGGCAGTGTTGATGTTGTCTCCAGTCACCATACGGACTGTGATGCCAGCACGCTGGCATTTGCGAATGGCTTCAGGGACCTGGGAGATATAAGAATGGTAGGTGGGGCTGGCAAGACAAGCCCATATTTTGTGTCTGGTACAGATCTGCAGAATCATAAGTCCCAGCAAATCTGGAAGTATAGTGAAGCCTATTGTTCCAGTGCAGGGTCTCTGGAACGTGGTGTGAAGGAGTTCAGAGGATGGCCTGCAGTGGGCAGGTACCCTCCCCAGACTCCCAGCCCACTGTCCCTGGCATCTCCTTCACTGTGACTGGCCACAGGAATGAGCAGTGAGTTAGACCTGGCTATGTTGAGCTTCTCCCTCTCTTGTCTAGTTTGTTTTTGTTTTTCAGCATAGAACTCAACCATTTTCCTCAGGAAGTAATCTTTGTCTCAGCTATAGGTTTTACATAATGTACTCACTAGAGAAAGTGAGGCATTACTTGGGATTAGAATGCATGTATTTCTTTTTCAAATGACATAGTAGGTTCTAGAACTAAGGAAGAAGAAAGAAAACCCGCAGCACAAAGCACAAAACAGGATAAGAGGGTGGGAAGCCATGAGACCAGCCTGGGCATTGTAGCATCATCCCAGTAGTGGGCATATGGAAAGGACAGTTTCCAAACACATGATATGTGTGGCCCTTCAGGCCCTGGGGCTGCAGAAGGGCTGACAGGCAGGATGGAGTAGTATATGCACTGGGGAGGAGGAAGGCCAGCTCAGAGTTTGAAGAGTTGAGTGAAGAGAGGCCTAGGTCTTTGAATTTCTTGGTGGGTACCCTTTGCACAGTGGTGGGCCAGCTGCTGGACCCAAGGGGGAAAGAATGTAGGAGGTATCTAGATTTGATCTAGTCTTCTGAACTAGAGAGGCTAGAGCAGGCAAGGTGGGCACAGAGGGACAGAGAAGTTTGGGGAGAAATCAGGAAGGAAGTAGAGGGTGGCAAGCAAGAACAGAGTAGTCCCTACTTAAGGCTTTGATAGGGATCTGATAATCAAACCAGAACTGTTAAGTGACAGTGAGGGACATGCCTTGTGAGGGCAGAGTCTAATTGTGGTAGCTCCCTCACCTCCCCCCCCCCCCCGTGTGTGTGTGTGTGTGTGTGATGTGCGTGTGATGTGTCTCCTTATGCTCAGTCTCAAGGACACATTCTGTTCTCTTAGGGTCTTAAGGTGCCACATCAGACCTTGAGTACAGAGAACTTCCTCTCAAGCAGCTTCATTTTCCAAAACGGCTGGAAGCCTTCTTCTCGGCTGCTGCCAGGTGGCCACGATGAATCTGAAAACTGGGAGCTTTGGACAGGTTCACCCCAGGGTCCAGGAGCAGCCACTACTCCAAGGCCCATCCACACTTGCAGTCTCTAAGCTCTCAGCTTCCTAGCCAGGTGGCAGGAACACCACCTCCAGAGGATACTCTTTCTTGTAGGAAAGATTGTTCTCTCCTTGTCTGCTTTGACCTGTTCCCTATTTTCTCCTCAAGGCTCACAGCACAGCAGGGAGTAGATGTCTGTAGAAGTTTCCAGGTCCACCTGAGTATTCATCTGCTAGAGTTCTGTGGACACAGCTCTCTGCTCCCCTCTGGTGGCCATCCTGTGCTTTCCAGTGCCCAGCAAGTTTGACTAAGACCCATGAAGGTTTTGCTGGATCTCTCCATTAACATTATTGCTGAACTCCCTCTCACCACTTTAAACCACAAAGGAGCTACCCTTGTTCCCTGAACCCCTCTGTTACCACCCAAACTGAGATACGTTCTTGCTGTCCTGAGCTTCTACCCCAACCCTCCCCACCATGGTACCCTTTGAGGTTGGGTCATGGTTATATCTTTCTTAACTCATGTATACATCTTAACACTTGTCTGTGTTTCACATTTCCTGAGGTGTAAACTTTCAAAAATATTACTGTACAGCTGCCCTGGGCTCACTCTGCTGCCAGCCCAGCCTAGGCCTGTTGTGCTCATTACATTTCTTACTCCATCTCCAACTGTGTACAGGGATATATGGTTGACAGTGACCCATGACCATTCTTTAGACATGGGGAGTATTTACTTTGGAACAGAGTGCCTTTGTTTTGTGACCCTGTATGCAAAACTTCTCCTTCCCTGTTATACCCAAAGCTCCAGAGCAGCTCCCACAGATATGTGCTTTCAGGCTAAGGGGCAGGATCAAGGTAGTCTAACATGAAGTGTATACCAACAGAAAGGGCTGGGAAGGTAGAGGGCCCTTTCACACTCTTGGGTATCCATTCACAAGAATAACACATCCATAAAGAACAACAAATACAACCATCACATGTGTTCAGGTCAAAGGCTTCAGTGACCTCCCAATGTCAAGGCCATCAATAGGCAGACTTGTCCTTTTTCATTCTGTGTTTGCTTCACCCATATGACCCTTGAGATCCATCCTACCCCCAAAATCTGGCCTCTATCACTGGAAGCTACCCTCAGTGATATCATCATGCATAGGAAGGTGCTTCTGGGATTTCTTTCCAGTCAGAACTTATGCTCTAAGTTCTCCATTCCCACACCTATATGCCTACTTGACATCTCCATGTGTGTGTGTGTCCTGAATCTCATTCAGACACAATCAAGCTCTTGACTGACAACTGCCCACCATATCCCCAAACCAATATCCACCCGATTCAGCTGTTTCTAGCTCCTCAGTTTCCCTCATCTCCTCCTTCAGTCCACTGGTCCTGCAGACACCCAGAATCTTCTTTTGCACCTGGTAGAAGTGGAGTGTGAGCCTTGCCCAGGGACCAGGCAGGCCCACAGAACTCCCATAGGTCAAGAACAAGAGGGCTTGGCAAGGGGATCAAAAGCACTGAGGAAGGTCCCATGACCTTGAGTGATCCCAAGTCACTGTTTTCCAGGCTGCTCTATCTATAAATAGGGCAGGAAGAGGTGTGACATCTTGGAAAGTGAGGAGAAAGTGGCTCTCACCATGTGTGCTTGTGTCCCAAGCCTATAGTGTGGAAGTCCAGTGTGGAAGAAGCCACTTTGCCACCTATTGGACAACCTTGAACATGGGGAATAGTTACTAGAGCAGCTTCTAGAAAAGGGGCAGCTACCTCAGGTCGTACAGGATCCTCGATGCCCACGACAGCTATGCAGGTAAGATCACCCACCACGTCATTCTCGTTGTCCCAGTCGGGCTCCTGGTTCGCAGGGAAGTCCCTGTAGGCAATGCAGATGGTGCGGAGGCCATCACAAGCCATAGGCTCAATGATCTTCTTCACCATGTCATCCCGGTCCCGAGGACGGAATCCTCGGAGTTCACCATTGCTGTTTAAGATGTTGGTACACCTGGCAGGGGAGGGGTGGTAGAGTGAGGTGGGGACAGGGAATGAACAAGAGGAAACACATTGGATTATGATGGCACCTTAACCAATGACATTATAAAGAACAGAGGATGCAGATGTGCAGAGACAGGGGAGAAGGCCATGTGACCACAGGTAAGAAATTGGAGTGACGCAGCTGCCTTCTAGCATCAGAATTTGAGAGAGACAAGCAAAGGTCCTCCCTTCCCATTCTCAGAGAGAGTACAGCTTGGCCCACATCTCAACTTTGTATTTCTGGCCACCAGAAATGTGGGGTAATAAATTTATGTTGGTGTGTGTGTGTGTGTGTGTGTGTGTGTGTGTGTGTGTGTGTGTGTAAGCCAAAAGTCATAAGCAGGGTGTTCCTCAGTCAATGTCCACCTTATTGTTATTTGTTTTGTTTTAGAGACAGGGTCTCTTACTGGCCTAGAGCTTGCCAAGTAGGGTAGGCTAGCTGGCCAGAGAGCCCCAAGGATTCAGCCTATCTCTGGTCTGCCTCCCCAGGGTTGAAATTACAAGTGAGTATTACCACACCCAGCTTTTCACGTGACTTCTGGCGATCAGACTCAGGCCTTGTGTTTTTTGAGGCAAGAACTTTACCAATTCAGTTATCTCATCAGCCTAAGACTTCTGTTATCTTAAGCCATCAGGTTTAGGACCATTTGTTACAGCAACCTGTGAATACTCACACACTGGTTGGCTAAGAGACCCAGGTGAGAGGTGGAAACCTGAGGCTTATTGTACCTTTCCTACAGACTTTATAGGACAAGGGTGTGGAATGTAGGTGAACTCCAAATTTAATGGACAGTCCTCTGGAACAATGGAGCAGGAACAACACATGGCAACAGCAGCCTCAGCTCTAGCTCTGACAGTCTGGGAGCTTCAAAAGGGACAGGCCTAGGGAGACCAGCTACAGAAAAGTTGTGGTTGAACTGAATGGGGCCTCATCTGGCAGGTGCCACAGGGAGACTGGTAAAGCTGGCTATCAAGGTTGGGGGTTGACAGAGAGAAACTAACAAAAGCCACCATAGTCTGACATCTTCCTAGGGTCATGGATTCACTCATGTGATTCTCAGCACTCTCGGGAGATCCATATTTGTAAGATCTCCATATTATACGAGGAACCTGAGCTAGCAAGACAGAGTAGTAACTTCCTTATGCCCCATTGTCAGCAAAGAGCAGAGTGGCTGGTGGTCAGCCTCAGCTGCAACCCCATAGTTCCCATCAAAGGAGTGGCACAGAAAGAGCCAGGGCCTCCAAATGCAGCAGTTCATCTTACCCTAGTAGGGACCGCTTCAGGGGAGAGGTGGCCTTCACCATGGGCTGCATAGGCTGTGACTGGGCTGTTTTGGGGAGAGTATTCTGAGTAAGGCAACCAAGTAGAGATGTATTTGGTGGTCAGGTCTGCTGAGAGCATGGGGCAGGCTGAGCCTGGGCGCAGAGAACCCTGGTGTACTGTTGGAGATTTTGTTTCCAAGGCCTTTGAGGGTAAATGGCAAAAGCCATGTGGGTGAGGCAGAGAGATTTAGGAAAAGAGAAAGGCCAAGACCAAGGGGAAGTATGCAGGATGAGAAGAGGTAGGAGAAGCAGAGATGCTCAGGGGCAAGGATCATGCTCCTTCCCTCCTTTGGGTTTTATACAGCTTCATTGAAATACAAGTCACAAACTATACAATTCACCCATTTAACGTGTATAGTTCAATAATTTTTAGTGTATCTTTAGATACACACAACCATCACCACAGTCAGATTTAGAATATTTTCATCACCTCTGAAAGAAACCCCACTTCAGATAGAGTGGCACATGCCTGTTGTCCCTGAACTTGAGACGCTAAAGCAGGAGAACTGCAAGTTCCAAGCTAGCCTGGGCTACACAGTGGAGAGTCTGTCTCACAAAACAAACCAAATGGGGGCTTGTGAGATGGCTCAGAGTGTCAAGGTGCTTGATGCCTGCCTGCCTGATGACCTGAGTTCAATCCTGAGGACCCATGTGGTAGAGGGACAGAACGTGTTGTCCTGTGACTTCCACTTGTGTGTACATATGCATGTGTGTGACACACACATGAATTCACACAAACAATTAAGTAGGAGCTAGAGAGACAGCTCAGCAGTTAAGAGCACTGACTACTTCCAGAGGGCAGGGGTTTCATTCCCAGCATCCACATAATTGCCTGTAACTTCAGTTCCAGGGGGATCTGATGCCCCCTCTGGTTTCCAGGAGCATTGCATGAATGTGGTGCACAGCCATACAAACAGGCAAAAACCTCACATACATTAAAAAGGGGGGAGGGGCTGGAAAGATGGCTCAGTTCTTCCAGAACTGAAAGTAGCTATTCTTCCACAGGATCCTGGATCGATTTCCAGCACTCACATGGCAGCTCATAACTGTTGTAACCCCACTTCCAGGGGATCCAATGCCCCCTTCTGGCCTCCATGAGCACAGCACATACGTGGTACATAGACATACATGCAGGCATAACATCCATACACATAAATCAACAATAATTTAAAATTAAATAAATGTAATAAAAACCAAAGATAACCAAGTAAACCAAAAGCAACCCACATAAACATCAACAGCAAAAACAGACAAATTGGATTTCATCATGATTTGAAAATATTTGTGCATCTACAGACACTATCAGGAGAGTGAAAAGGGAAAATTATATGTTTGATGAGGATTTGGTAGTCAGTATATAGCAAGGATTTAAAAAAACACAATAAAAGATAGCCCAACTCTTTAGTGTGCTCTTCCAAATGTTTCCTAACTCCTACCATGAGTCAATCCTAAGTTTTCTTCCACATGACCAGGCAAAGTGACAGCAATGGTCCTAGTTTTTGGTACCAGTTTTCTAAACATCCTTCAGTACAGTAAAGGTGACAATCAAGGTGAATTATCACACATATGCCAAGGAATAAAACAGTTGGGTCACATGTCAGTGCCATGTTCAACTTTCTGAGAAACCATAAAATATATAAAATATAAAACTATATTCCAAAAATGATACCATTCACGTGCGTGTGTTGTGTGTGTAGGTATATGTATGTGTTTGTGTGGGTGTGTGCATGTGTAAGCCAAAGGTCACCTTGCATGTCTTCCTCAATTACTCTCCACCTTACTTCTTTGGACAGGGTTTTTCACTGAACCTGGAGCTCATCCACTTGGCTAGAATGGCTGGCCAATGAAATCCAGTTATCTGTGTGTCTCTCCCCTCCACTGCTGCCCCGTCCCTTCTGTCCATGGACCAAGTTGCATACCCAACTTCCACATGAATACTGGTCTTCTTGGTTTTTTTGTTTTTGTTTTTGTTTTGAGACAGAGTTTCTCTGTGTATCCCTGGCTGTCCTGGCACTCTCTCTGTAGAGCAGGCTGGCTTTGGAACTCAGAGATCTGCCTGTCTCTGCCTCCTGAGTGTTGGGATTAAAGGTATGTGCCACCATCACTTGGCTGGAATGCTGGTCTCTTTTGCTTGGTGTGGTAGGCACTTTAACAACTGAGCCACCTCTCCAGCCATGATAATATACCATTTTATATTGCTGTCAGCAACATAGAAATATTCTAATATCTTCTCATCCTTACTAGTATTTAAGAAATATAAATTGAAATTACTAGAAGATCCTATTTTCTACCCAGGAGACCCTACTTTCCCCCCAGTAGAATGGCAACAACAACAATAGAGAAAGCCTAGAATGTTGTAAGCAGAGCTTAACAGGTAATTCTGGTGGGAACTCAGAGAACTAGAATGCTGACAGGGATACAAACGTTAAAGCCTGTGCTTGCAAGCTTTCAGATGAGAACAAGGATGATATTGAGAATTGGACTAGAGACCATTTGTATTATGCTATGGAAAATATCTTCTTTACACTTTTGCCTATGCCCTCACACTCAGTGTGAGGTTAAATGTAAGGTGATAGACTAATTAATCTGGCAGAGGAAATTTTAAGCATCCCAGCATTCAGTTTGTGGCATAGGTATTATTGGCTCTTTTTCAGCTGAATTTAATGTCATCAGAGCAAGAAAGAGGAGAGGGCTGGTGAGATGGTTCAATGGGTAAAGGCATTTGCCTTTAAGTGTGATGACCTAACTTTCATCCCCATGACCCACATGTGGAAAGAAAGAACCAACTCCCACATTTGTCTTCTGGTCTACACACATGTGCACACACACACTCTGTTCTCTCTCTGTCTCTCTCTGAACAAATAATCAAACAAATGTAATTTTTAAATTTTTTTAAATAAGACTTGCAATTTTGGCCAGAGAAGATATGTTATAAAGTTCCAGCCAAGGAGGATGTTGCTGAAGTGATAGTGCCACTTTAAAAGGTCAAGTATTGCACTGATACTATAAGAACAATGTCTGGAGAGAATCTCAGAAATTAACAAGGCCACAGCTACCACAGTTCCGGGGTGTATAAATACAAGTTGCTTTAAAAGACTTTCTAGGGCAGAGTCTTTTGAGAGGACAGTTCCAGGAAGCCCTGCTTGTTCTAATATGTCTAATGAACTGTGAATTGTTTCCCTGGGATGGTCCTACTCATTCATTCAGGAAGGGACACAGAAGCCACTGCAGCTGTGGTTCAAGTGGGCCCAGATGTAGCTCAAGCTAGTGGAAGGCCTTGGCATCCTTCATGTGGTGGTTTTGCATATGTTCAGAATGGAAGACCTGCAGAGTTGTGGATGTTTCCACCTAGATTTTAAAGGAAATCTTGGGTAGCCATGAGATAGATGTGTGGTCATGTCAGGATCCCTCTAGATAGTGCACACAGCTGTGAGGGTGAAGCTAAAGCTACAGTAGATTGCAGGAAGTTAGATATGCTCAGACAGTGTAACTCCTGCTGAAGAAAGCTGCAGGAAGCCAGCTCAAGAGAGAGAGGCAAGACCAGAGAGGTAGGGCTGTCTAAGCCCTTTGTAGCTTACATCACATCACCACATGGCTCAGATACCATTGGACATGGAGCTACATGATTTAATGCTATCCTGGTTTTCTGTATTGCTTTGGTTCAATCTGCACTCACTTGTGCTTCCATTCCTGCCTTTTGGAACGGGAATATTTACTCTGTGCCACTGTATGTTAAAATAATTTGTTGTTTCAATTTTATAGGGACTCAATACTAATACTAAGTGTGAGTGAGACTTTGAACTTGGACTTTTGGAACAGTTAAAACATTGAAGAATCATGGGAGTAGACTGAGTGAAGTTTGCATTGTGAGATGGACACGAGCCTTTGGAGGGCAGGGATGGAATGCTAAAATGAATCTATAACGTCTTCCAAAAAACCTAGTGTAAATGTTTGATCTTCACTTTCATGCTGTTGGGAGGTGGTGCAACCTTTTTTTTTTTTTTTTGGTTTTTCGAGACAGGGTTTCTCTGTGTAGCTTTGCGCCTTTCCTGGGACTCACTTGGTAGCCCAGGCTGGCCTCGAACTCACAGAGATCCGCCTGGCTCTGCCTCCCGAGTGCTGGGATTAAAGGCATGCGCCACCACCGCCCGGCAGGTGCAACCTTTAAGATGGGGGCATTTTAAGGAAATTTTAGGCCATTGGTGACATGCTATTGAAGAGATTTGTGGTACTGTGGTCTCTTCCTCTTCCTTGTTCTTATCCTAGCCTTTTGCTTCACCACATACTCCTTTCCATGGTGTTCCATTCTGTCACAGGTCCATAGGCAGTGGGGGCAAATGACTATGGACTGAAACCTTTAAAATTATAAGTCTAAATAAATCTTTTATGAGTTGGTTTTTCTCCTTTTCTGGTGGTGGTGGTAAGACAGGGCCTCCCCATGTTGCTCAGGTTGGTCTCAAACTCCTAGATTTAAGACATCCTCCTGTCTCATCATTTGAGGCAGCTAGGACAAGAGGAATGTATCACTGTGCTCAGCTCAAGTATTCTAATAACAGAAAGCTGACTGACACAGTGTATACCCCAAAGGGTTGAGAATGTGTACTCAGACTTATACCTGTGCTGTGCTTGAATGACCATAGCACTATTGACAAGAGCCCAAATGTAGACACAATCTGGGTATCTGAGAATAGATGAATGGCTGAACCAAATGTGGTGCTATCCATACAATGGAAGGTTGTTCAGCCTTCAAATGGCAGTGAAGCTCTGATAGATAAAGGAACTTTGAGGACATTATGAACTATGATGAAAGCTAGACACAAAAATATACAAAGTACAGAGTTCCATTTTTATGAAATCTCTGGAATAGAATAGGTGAAACCACAAGGACAGGCCAGAAGTTGCCAGAGGTAGAGAGGGGGCAGGAAAATCTCCTTAATGTGGCCTGGGGGTTCTTTTGGGGGTGATGGAAATCTTTTAGAGTTCTATAGTGGTGACGGCTGCAAACATTAGGAATATACTTAATGCTACTGCACTGTATACTTTAAAGTGGCTAACATGGTCAATTTTATGTTAGGTCTACTTTACCACAAAAATAAAACAAGAAATTTTATACCCTTTAGCTAGCCTTCAGCCACCCGGCCCCTGGCTCCTTCCGGTTACCCACTCACTTTTTGAGCAGGATCTCTGAGGCTCCCTTGCTGAAGAGGCGGAAGCTACCATCAGGCATGCGGATAACTGTGCTCATGGACTTGCGGACTGAATTGAAGGTGTACACTTTGTAAAGCTTATCTTCTGGAATCTGCTCCCGTACAGGTTGGAAGTCTCGCTTCAGGTCCAGGACAAAGCCCAACAGAGCACACTCTGTTTTGTTGCCCACTTGGCGTGGGAGAGCGCCTTCCTTCTCTGGAGGCTGTAGGCAAGGACAGTCAGCTTGGCATCAAGGCCCAGAGTACCCTCTGTTCCATCCCCAAGGCTAAGGTTCCCATTCAGCTTTGGCCATCATGTAGCTAGGGGGCAGTGGCATGGAGTAGAGTGAAGCCACCCATATTGACTACACAGGACATGGCCTGGCTGCAACATGTCCCTTTAAAGGTAAGTTTTCTATCATTTACCATGCTTGGAAAGGACTTCTAGAACCCACCTACCCCACCCAGCTGCATGAGTACTCTGTCATGCCAGGGACAGGAAGAAAGTCTACTAGCACCCTAAAGGTTCCTCTTGAAAGTTCTTGGTCTTTCTTGTTTTGTTGAAATGGGGTCTGTCACTGGCCTGGAGCCCCTGATTTCTGCCTGTCTCTGCCTCCCCAGTGCCGGAAGTATAAGCAGACTGCTGCATATCTTTTTTTACATGGGTTCTGGTGAGTGAACTCAAGGCTTCATGCTTGTAAGGTGAGCACTTTACTGACTGAGCCATCTCTTCAACCTTGGTTTTTACTTTTCTGCTGTGGAATAATCTTTTCGTATACTGTGAAGATGTGTCACTCTGATTGGTTTAATAAAACGCTGAATGGTCAATAGCTAGGCAGGATTTCCAGGCAGAGAGGATGCTGGGAAGAAGAAGGCAGAGATGCCAGGGATACAGAGCAAGCAGGATGGGCACTACAGAGATGAGGTAATAAAGCCACAAGGCAGAAAGTAAATTAATAGAGATAGGTTAATTTAAGTTGTAAGAGCTAGTTAGAAACAGACTAAGCTATCATCTGAGCTTTCATAATTAAAACAGGTCTCTGTACCAATATTGGGAGGCTGATGGTCCTGACAAAAAAGTCCATCTACATTTTTCTCCCCTGCTCTGTGTTTCTTTTTATAGTATGATGGGGCAAACCATTTTTGGTCAAACCTCATGTTCACTAGGCATATTCTTTACCAATACCACTCAGCTACTTTCTCAGCACCCCAAGATTTATAAGTGAGCCCCTCAGGGCAGTTCATGCCATACCACCAGCCCTGCCCCTTTCTCTCATCTGCCCTCCTAGCCCTGCTCACTAGTATTTTGGTGGTGTAGGCACTGTTGATGGAGATGGCATGGACCAGAAGGTCAAGGATCTTGGGGGTCAGGGCGCTGGGAGCTGGAATCTCTTTGTAGTGAGTGTCTCCTAGGTAAGACTGGACCACGGTCATGCGGTTGGTGGTGAGTGTGCCCGTCTTGTCAGAACAGATGGCCGTGGCATTGCCCATGGTTTCACAGGCATCCAGGTGGCGTACCAGGTTGTTATCCTTCATCATTTTCTGTAAAGGGCAGAGGAGTGGGAGATGCTTAGTTGTTTACTCATAGGGATAAAGGCAATGTGAGTGACACTAACAATCTGTTTGGTGACCTTGGTCATCTCTGGGTTGGGTGGTAATCAAACTAAGAGGGTAGGTATGTAAGATACAAGGGCTGCCATCTCATGGGGAGCAGTGAGCTTCCAAAAAGCTACTCTCTGCATGGCTGACTTGGAAACTATCTGCCGGAGCTCCCTCTCCAATTGCCTGCTACCTCTGTGTTCCTCCACACTCCCCTGGTTCTTCTTTAATTTCCCACTGCCTCCCAGTGTCCCAGAGCCTTTTCTGAGGCCCCTGCATCTTTGCCTCTGCCTCTGCAAGCAGCACTATCCCCCCCCACTTTTTTCTTGGCTCTTCCAACTCTCCCTGCCAGTATTCCACAGATGCCAGGCCCAGGTCTTTCTCAACATCAGTTTGTTTTCTAGCTCCCTTCACTGTGTCTAAGGGATGGGTGGTCACAGTAGGACCCTCTGCTAGGATGTATTAGCAAAGTCCATCTTAGTCAGTACCCTTCCCTCCTTCCTTAGCTTCCCTAGCCTTCCTTTGTGCCCACTACACCTAAGATGCTTTGATAATATTCTACTCTAGTTTTGTAGTCTGTGTGATGGAATTAATTATAAGTAGCAGTATTATTACCTTGACAGAGTAAGCCAAGGAGATAGTGACAGCAAGAGGCAGGCCCTCAGGGACAGCCACAACCAACACAGTGACTCCGATAATGAAGAACTTCACAAAATACTGCACGTAGACAGGTGTGCACTCTGCCAGCCACACCCTGCCATCCACGACGAAGGTCTCAATCACAAAGTAGAGGACCAGGATGATGACAGTGATGGCAGACATCACCAACCCTGCCCAGCCATGATGGAGAGGGGCCACAAGAGGTAAGAGGAGAAAAGGAAGGAAGAAAATTGAGGGCAATGTAGCCATGGTTGGCCTGAGGTCAGCCAGGGCCTTTGCAAGGGGTTGATGGATTTGAGTCAACTTTTAGGATAAATAGCTTGAAGGATGACTCCATGGAGTGAGAGGTCCTAGGGTAGCCTTTGCTCCAGTTCCCCAGGACAGTGTAGTGTAAAGAGCAGAAAGCTAAGGGTATGAGAGGCATATCTGTGAGGAACTAGCCGCCCTCATATTTTTGGGCTCTGGCTAGCAGGCAGTAAAGTTGGCTGCCTCTTGACTATGATGTGGCCAGAAACCTTGAATCAGGGAGTCTGCTAAGTAATGCATGAATGTGTGGCTTAGGCCTTATTGGGGTGGAGGGTGCTAAGCCAGGATTTGATAGTCATAATTGGCTCTGGTCTGCACCTCTGGTCCTACAGTATATGCCACACTCTTCTGGAATACTATCCATTTATCTGTACATGAACTTGCCTAGGGCTAGGACAATATTCTGTCCTTTGCATTCACAGCATCTGGAACTGATACTACTTCCAGGAGTCTGCTGTCCTCCAGGCTTCTGGAATTCTGTGTGTGGCTGAACATACCTGCTTTCCCAATCTGCACAGCCAGTTTTGTGAGCTTCCCTTGCAGAACTGACTTCTCCTTCTTGGGTACGTTGGTTTTCTTCTTTTCTCGCTCCTCCATTTCCCCACCCTCAGCACTCTTCAGGGGCTGCATTTCCATGGCAACAGCCCCATCCTGCTTCTTAGCTGTACATAGAGGAAACCCTTGGCTGAAGTTAGGGCCTAGCAAGGGTAAAGGGGCTACAGAGGGCAATCACAAGGAAAGACATGTCTCATCATATGGGATTCAGTGGAGCACTTTTAATTTCAAGTTTTGCAAAGGAAATCTGTAGGCTTCTGTTGCATCCTAAGCCCAGGCCCTCCTGAGGTAGGCAGACAGTTGAAGCATTGTCCTAGGTGGGACAGACAGATGGTTCTTTTGTGGGAAGGGTGGACAGACACTAGTACAAGGAACTTGTGCACAGACAAGTTGGCCAGTCCAGTAATGTCCCAAATCTCAATACCTGAGAGAAGTCCTGTGGTTGGTCCAAGGAATGTTCTGGAACCAAAATCTGACTCAATTGCCCACAGATATCCAAGCCACATCTACTTTCCCCTCAAGGACACTAAAGGGCCTTAGTGTATTCTCCTCTTAGCTCAGACACCACTGCTCATCTTGCCTCTTCCCATGGGACCTGTGGGAAAGCCTGTTTTGTCTCTCTTACGATTTCCCTACCTCCCTCTTGGATCAGGTGGCTCCTCTCACTCCTTCTTTTTAGGCCTCACAGTTTTCATTCTTGTTGCATTTGTGGTGGTGACATGGGTGCCTTATCTCCCCCTTTGCCAAGCTTTACACAGTCTTTGGGCTTGGGGCTCTCGACTACACTGCCAAAAGTAACTATGTCCACTCTACCTGCTTCCTCCACTCTTCCTAAGGAAGGGGTTGCCTGACCTAGCAGTTGTGGGGGTGTCCCCCAGTTTGTCTTTTTTCTTTTATTCTGCATCCCTTCACCTCACCTGGCAGCCCAAAGCCACTTACGATAGCTCCTTCCTCCTAGCAGCCTTAGGACATGCCAGACCCTGTCTAGCTGGGTCACTCTAGTTTTGAGTCCCTACCTACTGTTATCCCACCAAGCAAGGGCTCTAGCCAACAGGATGCCTCCTGTCCCCAAAACCTTACCAATCTTAGTTATCTTTCAGGTTCTAGCTGACTTCTCTTACCTGGAAAACTCACAGAACTGGCGCCTAGGGATTTTGACAAGTTATCCTCTCTATGCCTCAGTTTCCTTATCTGGCTAAAGTGGTCTCAGGGTGTCTACGGGTAATTTTCATACATGGGCAAGTTCAAGCCATGCTGATGGCCTTGGCACTGACCAGCTGTTTTCCAGGTGGCTTATCTAGGCTTCATGAAAACAGTGTCTGGTGGAAACTGGAGCATCCTCCAAGGGTGTCCCCTTCACTTCCAAGCCAGGATAGGACTTCGGGGCCTACTCACCTGTCTTTAGGTGTTGCTTCTTCCCTGGCATCAGGTGGTCCCTCCCAGTTCCCCCTTCCCCCTCCTCCCCATAAGCTCCTCAGCTGCCCTGAGCCATGCGCATACGTTACCTCTGGTTTGGCTACTGTCCATCGCCCCATCCTGCTGCTTGCCTACAATGGAAGAGGAATGACAGACACGGAGAGACTTGAGAACACCCATGTGGTCATGACATACACAGAAACACAGGAGAGTAGGAAGAGCTTGGGCACATACAGCAGTTTGTAGCTATATGGAGTAGAGGAGGGAAAGGAGAGGCCTGATAGCTGATAGTCATGACCTTGCCTATGGAGGGGCCTTCTTAACTTTCCAGGAGCAGGATATCATTACCTCCCAGCTCATATTCACTGCATACCCTCTGGGCTTCCTGGGCCACGCTTCTACCCAGTGTTTCCCACTGGGCCTTGACCTCAGCCCCACAGTGAGTCTCTAAAGCCAGTTCTGGATGGGCTCTGGGTCAGGTGAAGTAGGTGTGAACAGTTTCTGGAAGGCCTGCTACCTTAAGAGAAGCCCTCTTCTTAGATGTTTGACCTTTCAGACCCAACAGGAGGTAATTCTCAAGCTCTGGACCAACCCAACCCCTCTACTCTTTTCTGAGGCCACTATTAGGTGTGTGTCCTCAGGGATAAGGGCTCTGTCTGTTTTAGGGCACATCCAAACTGTGGGTCCAGAGCCACTGTGCAGAGGAGGTCTAAATGTTGGGTATATAGCAGCACTAGGGGGAAGGTATGAAGACTGGACTCCAGGTGGCCCTGTCTGAAGCCTCAGGTTGGGTACAGCCCATAGTGCTAGTTACTCTTTCTGAGGGTTGCACAGCTCAGGTGACAGAAGAGTTTATCTGCAAGCCACATCTGCACTGGTCCCCATTTAGGGAGGGATCTGCCAGCACAGGATCAGTTTCCACCCAGTAGCTCATGTCACTGGGCAATCAAAGGACAGACAGGGTGTCAAGTAGCTTCTAGGCAATAGTACCATGGTCTGGGGTCCAAAGAATGAGAGAGACACCTCCAGCCATAAGTATGGTAAGTTTGGCATATATTGTACCCTTTCTGTTCAGGGCCCCTGTGTGAGTTGGGGGTAGTTTAGAGGTGAAAGAGATTTCTATTCATCCATCCATCCATCCATCCATCCATCCATCCATCCATCCATCTATCTATCTATCTATCTATCTATCTATCTATCTATCTATCTATCTATCTATCATTTTGTGTGTGTGTGTGTGTGTGTGTGTGTGCGCGCGCGCGCGCGCGCGCGCGTGTGCTGTGATGTCAGTTCAAGGGAGAGACCACTGTCTTCAAGGCGAGGGAGTGGATTTCCTAGAGGGCCTTAAATGTGGAAGGGGCTCCCTGTCAACCAAGCAGAACCAAGAGAGCACTAAGCAAGGTTATCTAGCCTGAGGACTCAAGCTAAGCTCAGCTGAGGCTCAGAGCCTACTTATCATTTATCTGTATATTCTTGGAGCACATATTAAAGTTGTGGGTAACACTGGGAGGAGTTCAGTGGAGACTGGGAACTTGGTGCAGCTGGCAGAAGGCCTGGCCTGCCAACAGCAGGGAGGTGCTGATACAGGGAGGCACAGGACCAGACTGCCAGGGAACAAGGATAATAGAAGCTTCCCAGTGATCGGCAATTGTAGCCCTGCCAGCTCATGTGTCTTGGCTCTCAGGGACAGGGGACCTCAAGAAGTAGCCTAAAGCCAGGACTACTAACTTATCCTTCCTCATGCCAGTCTATCCCTGAATAGTCTAAAACTGATAGCTGTGGCTCCAGGTCCTCTAAGATGGACAGGCATGCATCTGGAAATATCTGCTCCCTAGTCACCTGGGGATGTGGAAAAGAACTGGGGATAGATTGCTCACCAGAGCTATGGTGTGTGCCTGAGTCACAGAGGAGCAGGGCCTGGTAAAGGGAAGTTCTGTGACTCCACGGTTTTGAGTTCCATGGCTAGAAGGGGCAGTATAGTAGCTTCCAGGGCCATAAGGAAGCTGGAGTCTCTAAAATCCTCTGTTTCTATCCCTTACTGTCCCCAGGGACAGGGCTACCACTTGCTGAACAGCCTCCCCTACCCCACCCCATCCAGCATCCCTTGGTCCTGGCTGTCATTTTGAGACCTATCCCTATCTGTTCAGGAGACTTCCACTTTGGACTTTGTGACTCCCTCCCCAACCCCAATCTTCTATATGGAAGTTGAGTACCTTGAGGGTAGGCATGAAGACCCCAGCAGCATCTTTCAAAGTTGAGATAAGAGGTCACATTTCTGTGACCACACTTCATCCCAGGAACAGATGTACCAAAGCCATCAGAGAATAGCATTGACCTGCTGGCTCTTATGGAAAATACCAGAAGGATTCTCAAGAAGAATCAGAAGAGGGTGGTAGCTTCCAATCCATCTCCCTGGAGCCAGGATTGGTCACCAGGCAGATGAAGAAGCAAGAACAGTAACATAGGAGGAAGCTGTCTCATCATCTCTGGGCACTGGAGTAATGGCTGCCTTACCTTTCTTGTCTTTCTTCTCCTCCTCCTCTCCACCAGCTCCAAGCAATGTAAAGATGATGCCTGTCTGGGAGTTCACACCAACAGCTGTTACCACCATTCTTCCAGAACCTTCCATGACATGAGTGCCTAGCAAAGAAACACAGAGGAACTAAGACAGATTTGCACAGCCTGGTAGGACATACTCAGCACCCATAGGCTGACTTTCAGGGTTTCCCTGAGGCAGGTACTTGTCTTGCAGAAGTCACTGCAGCCGTTGGCACCTACATCTAGACTGCAACCTTTTTCCAGGCTTGGGGTAGTGGGAATGACCCAGAGGACCACAGACTGTCAGGTCTTTGTCAGAAGCATAGACTGAGCCATTCACATGGCCCACTAGGGGGCTTCTGGTCTTCCTGTCCAGTTTCATATTACATTTCCCATTAAGAAAAAAGTGGGCTGAATGAGAACCTTCTAGAAAAGGAACAAAACACACACATGGTCATCTTCAGAGTCTATATGTGGAGGGAGCACAATATCCCAAGCTCCCCTTGGGATATCCCATTCATGATATCAAAGGCCCTCTTGAGCAGGGGAGACCCATTTCTTTGCCCTGTGGCTGGAGCCACACCACCAGGCCTCCAGTGACCTGCTCTGGCATGGCAGTGGGTAGCATTCTCAGACTCCCCAACCAGAAGAGCTATTCAGGGAGACCCTAGTTAAGGCAAGTCCAGCAGGATGGCTTGGCTGGGGATGCTGGGCCAGGCTTTCAATGTGACCTTATACTGGGCTGGTTGAGAAGGTGATCCTTACCTGAGAGTAGCATAGGATCTTTGTCTGCTGATTTGCGCACATGGTCCGACTCGCCAGTCAGGGAGCTCTCGTCGATCTTGAGGTCATTGCCTTGGATGAGCACACCATCGGCAGGCAGAAGGTCTCCTATAGGCCAGCCCAGGCCAGAACCGGAAGCTATGGGTCCATGGGACCTCCCCACCCTTACTTCCTCCCGCCTTCTCCAGAGGAGTTCCTGTCATCTGGGAAAGGATGGGGGGGGGCTCTCTTCTTTAAGCCTCTCCCTTTGAGGAGGATCATCCACATCTAACCATGTCCAGTTCTCAAGGAACAGGGGCAACATTTGTATCCTATAGTAGTAGGAGACCTCTTCAGAGTGCTTCCTGTGGGCACTGTTGTGTCTCAAACCCCTTTTCTGCCCCTAATAACACCCACTATGCTCCAATCTCAGGCCCCTGTGGGTGAAAACATACAGACTTCTGGGGAAATAGTCTGAGCTGGGGAGGTTCCTCTGGCTCACCCTTCTTAGAAATGGTATTCAGGCTTTCTTGGCAGGGTGGATGAAGATGGGCACACTTACCATATTTGACCTGGGCAATGTCCCCCACCACCAGTGCTGCCACAGGGACCTGGAGGAGCTGCCCATTTCGGATGACAGTAAACTTCTGTTCCTGCTCAATACGGCTCTGAAGACCTCGGAACTGCTTTTCCTTGCTCCAGTCATTGAAGGCCGTGACCAGCACCACACAGATGACAGAGAGTAGGATGGCAGCCCCCTCGATCCAGCCAGCCTCAGCCTCTCCTTCGTCCTCTGCCCCACCAGACACATTCCCACAGGCTGTGTCCAAGGATGGAGGAGAACATAAAGGAAGGAGAGGTGAAGTCATGGTAGCCAAGAGCTGGGACCCCTCCTTCTATCTCAGAGTCTCTCCCCTCACCTTCGCTTTCCTCTCCAGGTGGTGCATAGAAGGAGAGGCCCAGGGAGACGATGGCAGCCACCTCCAGGATGATGAGAGTCACGTCCTGCAGGGCTTCCCACACAAGCTGCAGGAAGGTCTTGGGCTGCTTGGGGGGGATGAAGTTCTGCCCATAGATCTGCCTGCGTTTCTCCAAGTCATTGGTGTTGTCTGCCAGGCCTACACAGTGTCCCGGGAAAGTGGCAGAAGCACAGAAGAAGATGGTACAGGCTAGCCTTTGGTACCATAAGCATCCCTGACTAAGCTTCTGCTGCTGCAAGAATGGCCCTTGTGGCTCTCTGACTAAAGCTTGCCTCTCTAGAACTCTGGAGTGGATTCTTAGAGAAGGCAGAGTGGTACAGGCCTAGTACTATAAGCATTTCTGCAGACCCAGGACTAAGCATAGGGGAACCAAGCACAGCCCTCACAGGGAATACCCAGCCTGAGGAAGGGATGGTAACCCAGGAAAGGGGGTTATCAATTTCCTGATTCAATTAAAAGACAGTAGGCCTAGGGAAGGAGACCTTGGGACTGTGGTTGTCTCAATCGCTGAAACATTAGCCCACCCCATGCACCTTCCATGTCTGCTGTCACTTCCATGTCCAAGCTATCTTCGAGGGATGCTTGCAGGGAAGTGATAACACCCAATAAATAAAAGGGCAGCAAGGACCTAGGAGGACACTATGTGGCCAAGGGTAGCTGAGACAGGAGTAGAACAGAGCACCCAGTGGCTCCCTGGGTTGTGAGTGGGTAGGGAGGTGAACCAATATCTAAGAGGTTTCAGTAGATTTGTGGGGAGGTTGCCAATCAAAGTGATCCAGGTAATATTAGCCCATTTTCACCCAAGAGCCAAATAATTGGCCAAGGCCCTCTCCAAAGGGATCGGACAAGCTATCTGTCTCCTAACACTTAGATTCCATGTCTCTTTCAGAGTGCTGGTCACTTGGCCCCACACAGGCCTGAAAGATAGGACTGTGTTTGAGACACTGGCACTTTGAAAGTGAGGCAGTCTCTGGACCTTGGCCACCCTACTGTATGGCCTACTGTTTCCAAAGACATTCAGGGCTATCCAGCCTAACCTGCAAAAGGGGCAAGGCACAGGGGAACCTGGGACCGGGGACATTGGTGTGTCCAGAAGCATAGCTGTTGAGGAAGATAGAGCAATGTCTTCTGGAAATGGATGGAGATCTACTTTCTAGAAGTTTCTCTGGGAAGTATCAGAGAGAATGAGTGTGAGAGCAAGTTCTTAGGTCCAAAGACCTATATAAGGAGACTGTCTTATGAAGAGAAGAGGGAGGCTTGGGAAGTCCTTCAAGGTGGAAGTACAGGGCCTGCAAGGAGAAGCAAAGGCAGAGGTTTGTGGCATCTCACACCTAGGTGTGGCCTGGGGAACTGATTCTCTAGGTAGTGCATGGAAGCTGCTCCACAGTAGGGAAGGAGGGACTCTGTTTACCAGTTCCAGAGGAGGCTTCTGAGACTGGAGTTTGAAAGGACCAGCACCAGGAAAGGAAAACAGAGTTCCTCAGAGGCTGAGCTACTGTGACACAGAGTTGAAGAGAGGATGACCCAAGGTCTGGTGCCCACAGTGCCCAGGAAGTGCCCGGGCAAATGGCTCCCCTATACCTAACACCTTCTTAGGATGAGAGATGGGGATGGCTGAGGCTAAGGAGATTGTCAATGGTTCATGCAGAGAACAAGGAGAGGAAAGGAAAGTGAAGTTCCAGCATAGGCCCTCTTAGTCCTAACTTGAGACTCCTCAATCAGTGCAGGATTCAGGGGCAGAGAAGGCCTTAACTTATGGCTCCAGGGCCCTGCAGGTAACCTCCATATAGATCTCAAACCAGTGAGAAATTGCTACACCCTTATCCTTGGTTGGCAAACTTCTGTGCAGGATGATCAGTCCCTCCTTAGGTTCGCGCAGGACTCTAGGGCTATACCCCAAAGGGACCAGCTCCATACCGACACCTAGTGGATGGATGGCAGCTTGAAGCTTCCACCAGAGTCACTGGCATGGATTCTACCACCTGCTGAAGGAGCTGAGTGGTGAGCAAAAGGGACATCTAGTCCATGGAACATGCATAGCAGGCTGGGTTTAGGAAGGCTCATAGGACTCAGCCCCAGATCGCTCACCAATAAGGAAGTGCTGACAGTGGGCCTTCTGCAGAGGATCAGGGTACAGCTTGAATGAAGTGGAAGGACTGACAAGAGCAAAAGTTGCAACCAGCACAGGTTTGGCACGTCCACACCATCTAGCCACACGGTATCCTTCCCACACAGAAGGGCTGCAGCTGTCCCTGCCTTTCTCTCCCTGGCCTCATTGAGCCTGGGCTGGACTGGCAGCTCAGATTTCTGCTAGGGCCAAAGGCCTCTTTCTGAAGGCCCACAGCTTTCCCAGTAGGGTGTCTGGGAGACCTCAGCCTCTGTGGTAGCAGTGGTGGGGGTAGGGACCAAGCTGAGAAGGTTCAGCCTTTCTTCTAGATTGAGCCTTTTCTCCTTCAACTGCAGGAGCTATGAGAAATTCAACATTACAAGAGATGCACCATGAGTTCCTAGACACTTGGGGTCTACATTGCCCTTGGCCTGGAGCCCCCACAGAGGGCAAGTGACCCATTCTAGCTTCTAAAAAGCCCGAGTCCCGTGGCATCATGTGACTCTGCTTCCTGACTGTCCTGCTTCACATGCCCAGATTGTTCCTAAGGCCAGTGAGGCCCTTAGTCCCTTTCCCCCAGAGGAGTCTCCATTCCCCTCCTCTGCCTTGCCCTTGGCCTTGGATCATCCTTGCTACTGCAGCAATGCTCCCGCATCCCCTTTGCCTGGCAAAGACTGGCAGTTGCCTTCAGATTGACCCTGTAGCCTTGGCCTTTCTGTAGGGTTGAGACCAACAGCTGCCACAACTGCTGTGGTACCATTGTGTGTGTGGTAGAGAAGGCAGCTGTGACCCTTTTGGTTCCAAGCACATGCCCACCTAGCAGGCCCAAGACATGGGACAGAGGCTGGGTGGTTGGCATGGACACAGATGGGCTATTCACCCAGAGCAGAGGCCAGATACCATCAGAATTGGATTAGGACTTCATTGTGTCGGTTCTCAGCTAATTGGTCCCATCCTTTTTGTGGCTGCCTACAGAGAGTAGATAAGACAGGGGCAGGGTACAGAGCCCCCTAACCAGTCTACCCTGAGGTTCCTGACCAGTAGGCAGGTCCTTCTTCAGGATGGGTTCTGGAATTCTTCTGAATCTCTGCAGAGGCTGAGAGATTAATGGATTGGTGCAATAACTGCCAAAGTCCCCTCCATCAACATGCCAACATACCTGCCTGGCCCCTTGTCCTCTTCTGGGCACCTGCCCAGAGGATTGGCATGGGGCCAGAATTGCAGTTAAGTCTGCCCCTCCTACTAAGAAGGCCTGCTGAGGAACCTGCTTGCTCGAGGCTCGCTGTGCTGAGGAAATGGGGGAGTGAGAATCACCTGCTCCTGGCCCCAGACAGCTCGGTCCTAGGAACCTAGGGGGAAGGGTTGGCCCCTGGGCTGCTATGGGGACTTAGGGTCTCAGAGGCCTGTCAGGGGCTGAGCCACCCACCTGGGCACCTGCCCTTCTCCATGCCCACCCCATTTACAGGCACCAGATGAGCTTTGGAGCTCTGTGGCAGAATCGGGCAGGTTCCCAGAGGCCTTGACATTTTAAATATTTAACAAGGCCTGACAGGCAGAGGGAAGAGCTGCCAGCCAAAGCCCATCTGCTTCCTTTGATCTGGGAGAGGCCAGAGCCCTTGTGGCTAAATGGCCCTCTACCCCAGCCTTCTCAGAGGCTCCACGTTCTCGGGGGGGGGGGGAGTGGGGGTGGGCAAGGAGGAGGACGGAAAGAGATCCTTTGGCATGAAGCCCAGCCATCTGCCTTGACATAATGCTGCTTCAGGCTGGTGTATGTGTGTGTGTGGTAGGCAGGCTGAATAGTCTTTCAATGGGCGCAGCAGCTCTACATCTCAGTTCAGGAAGATCCAGATGGCCAGGGAGGCCACCATACCTGGAGTTTTTAACCTGGCCCATGGGCCTGCCTTCTCCTATCTCTAATGCTCCCTTGGGCCCATGCACTACTTCCTATGGACAGATGATGCTTTCTTCAATCTACTTGGGGCAAGGCTACAGTAAGAACATCTGGTGTGTGCCCTAGAGGCTTTGAATGGAGGCAAGGGCAGAGCAAGGAGGCTTGAGGCGATAAGCATGAGTGTTGTAATTAAAGGACTGATTTAGAAACAAGAATGGGCAAGACCTGGTGATAGGTGGGACAGGGGAGCCAGGGAGCAGGAGGAACCCAGGTGGTGGCCAGGACTTGCAGGACTGGGTGGGTCAAAATGCCACCACTGAGATGGGTGGCTGATAAAAATCAATCAGCACTGGCTGGGAAGCAGGCCTGGCATCAGATTGGGATAGCTCCAGCAATCCTGCAAGACCAGTGTCAGATAACGGGTTCCAGCTCTTGAAATCTGGGGCTAGATTTGTCTCTTTGGGAACCCTGGTCTCACAGAAGACCCCAGCATTCAGAAGTTGAGGACCCAAGATGACAGTCAGACCTGCACTCTAGATCTTCTGGAGGACTCTCACCATGTTTCTTCTGTAGATGCTCACTGGTGTAATACTTGCACTATCTCACGCTTGTACCTCTCTGGGACAGCCTGTGACTACTGTCACTTTGTGTGTGTGTTTGTGTGTGTGTGTGTGTGTGTGTGTGTGTGTGTGTGTGTGTGTGTATGTGTGTGTGCTCATGCACGCATGCTCATATATGCTCATGTATGTTCATGACCAAAGGTCAATGCCATATGTCTTTCTCAGTTGCTTTCCACCTAAGTGTTTGTGACAGAGTCTTTCACTGAAATTAAGAGTTCACTGATTGACTAGACTCGTTGATATACAAACCCTATGGATCCCCCTATCTCTGCCTCCTTGGTGCTGCGATTACAGGAACACACTCCATGATCAGCTTTTTACATGGGTATTGAAAAACTCCAATTCATGCCCTAAGGTTTGCACAGCAAGCACTTTACCAACTGAGCAATCACCTCAGTCCCAACCACTGCCACTGCTAATGGTACCATATGACTATTGGGCTCTACTTTTTGTCTGCTATTCCCACAAGATTAAAATGTCTCTGTGTCATCCTTATGTGACCCCTCCCTTCCCATGGAGAGGACCCCTGCAACTTGAGCCCCAGAGGGCTTCCACACTGCATTCTCTTATTTCTGGTTCCTCTTAACTGAGCCCAGGTTTGAGCACATGAAGTCCAACTATATAGACAGAGGCCATGGTTTCCTCCTCTTCTGGTAGGAGACAGTTGATACTGCTCTGTTTCTTGAAAAGAAGTCCAGAGTTTCCATTTGGACCCTCCACCTTTAGTGGTTCTCATTTGCCCTTCCCTTTCTTTTCTTTTTGTAGGGTGGAAAATGACTGATTACATAGGTGTGGAGGAGGGCTCAACTCAGACCCTCAGAATTTAGTTGCACAGAGGATGACAATCTCCCCCTGCACAAGGCACCTTCCAGTCAATACAAAGTGGCTGAGCAGAGGGTGACAATCAGGGTCCCAGTTTCTGTGTCCTCCAGGGGTCAGTTATGCCTTACCTCCACGGAGCCATTCAAGGCAGTCATAGCAGCGGCACCACGGAGCCCCAATTGTGCTCCAGGGGTAAGGCAGACCCTGCATTCCTGGGGTATCTCTTTCCCTGCCAAACCCAGTGGACTTACCCTCAGTAGGCGAGGTCTTCAGCCTCCTGCACAGCCCGCTGACATCTCCATAGGCTTCCTGGATCTTCTGCAGTGCTTCGGCACCTCGGAGCTCCATGAGGCTGCGTAGCTCTGCTAGTGTGCACCCAAAGCCACCCACATGGGGCACTTCCCGCTGCTGCTGGGGCTTGGGGTGGAACTCAATGGAACTGTTCGCCATGTCACCCATCCTGTCTGTCAGGCCTCCTCACAGGTGCAGCTTCGACTCAGTTGTAGCTAGGGACAGGTGGCCACCTAAGATCCCAGTGCTGAGGTGAGGCAAGGTGGTGGTGGGAAAGAGGTTAAGTGTGAACACCTGGGGAGAAGGAGGCAAGAAGAGGCCAAGGGTCTGGTTCGGACAAAATGAAGGCCCAGGATTCTGGGGCTATTCTACCCATCTTCATTCAGTGTACTCTGTGACTCACAAATGGCAAATTGACCTCCCAGGTCTCACCCGCTAGACCAGTCCCCCTACTCCTGCCTATCATGAGCACCCAGAGCTAGAGGGTTTGTTAGGTGGGGAAGCAGGGAGTGGTGGGGCCCTTCTGCCACCAGCAACAGCCAGCTCTCACTGCCTCTCTGAACCACTTGAAAACCCATTTGGAAGTAAGGCAATGTATTTGGGGTTATCAGTAGCTACTCTTGCTTCATATGCACAAGAGATCAGTGCCCATCACCAGCTTCTTGCTTGACCCTCTCACCTTACTTCCTATTCTTGCCTGAATAAGACTTGCCCAGTGCCACTGCCATGTTCTAAATCCCCAGAAGTCCTCAATTGCTCAGGCCTGGGCTGTGCAGGGCTCCAGGGGATAGACTGAACCATGGAAAGGACCAGCTGCACTCCTTGTCAAGGTTGACTGTGCAGGGTGTTTCTGCAACCCTCAGGGTACTTGGGGGTGGGAGGAGGCCCAGTGGCAAGTGGAGAGCAGAAAAAAGGGTGAGGGAGGGAAAGAGGTAAGGAGAAATAGACAGGTCAAAGAGGGTAAGGATAAGGGGAATCAAAGTGGAGGGGCCTGGGATAGGGCCCAGAGGAAAAAGTCCAAAGTAACTACAGGTCACTAGTGACTCTGCTGACACCTGCTCTCTAGTGTATTGCTACCACACCCTGATGACAAAGGAGCTAAGGTCTTCCTTTCTGAAAACATTCAGCTGAGTGTGGTGGCTCACACCTTTAGTCCAAGCCCTTGGGAGGCAGAGGCAGAGGCAGGTAGATCTCTGAGTTTGAGGCCAGCCTGGTCTACAGAGGAAGTTCCAGGACAGCCAGGGCTGTTACACAGAGAAACCTTGTCTCAAAAAAAAAAAAAAAAAAAAAAAAACCCCAACAATAACAACCCCGAAAAACAGAACAAACAAACAAACAAACAAACAAACAAACAAAACCATCCAGACCACTGCCAGGTCATAGCACCTTCCTCTTTTGTAGGGTTCCTGAGGCTGTTATCTATCCTCTGCACCAGTGCTCCTTACCTTGCCTAAGAAAACCGCTGCTCCCTCTAGCTGCCATCTGCAGCCTTCATGGGGTCTGACAGTAGGGCCATTAGGCCCTATTGGACCTGTCCTCCTCCTGCAGAGCCATATGCCAAACTTGCCACATTTGTCCCCCAGAACTGAATTATTCTCAGAGCACAGGGTTTGGGCCTTTATATCGGCAAACAACCCTCCCGGCAACATGCTTGGCTGGACTAGACCTCTCACCTTTGGGCAAAAACTCCTGGCTCAGAACAATACTCTCAAAAACCAGAACTCAGACATCCATCTAGGTTTCTTATCTAGAACCGCCCATGGGGGAAAAATAACCCAAAGCCTAGAAGAAAGGAAAAAAAGGCCCTCATGCAGCTAAAATAGAGGTGGTTAACTCCATGGCCGTCACTATCAGGAGGGCCTAGTGGGTTAGATCCTTTGAATGCTATGGGGTGCCATGAACTGAGAATATCACATCTAGAGGAAGAGCAGAGGCATTGGGGGAAACATTCCCACACATGCTCTAAACATGAAGACTTCAGCTCTCAAGAAAAATTGTGTGTGCCTAGCTGCAAGGTCTGGTGGGCGGGGTGAGGGGCACTTAGAAAATGTCCATCCCAATTGGTCACCATTTCACAGTTTGGATACCTCAGTATTAACTGTTTCATCACTTACTACATGGACCAGGTTTTACTTCTGGAAGATGTGGGATGAAAATGGCAAACACAAGATGACTTCCCCATCTTTTCTCAATCCCGTGCACCTATCTCCCACCACTTTTTCCAGTTGGTTATCTAAAAAATGTTTCTTGGGCATCTATTACATGGCAGGCACTGACATTTTGTGCTGGAGGTCGACAAAACTAAACTAATTGCTTTTCTCTGTGTGGCTAAGCTATAGAAATAAGGTTCAATTCAGAGGCCCAAAGCCCTGGGCTTTCAGAGAAGGCATCTAGGAAGAACAAAGGGAAGAAAAGACTGAAAACAGAAACAGCTAAGCAAGGCTGGGGGAGGCAGGGGCTGTGGTCCTTCTGCTCGGTTGAGCAGCAGCAACCAGAAGCACTGGCTGGGGATGGCAGGGGCAAGCAGTGGGCCCACAGAAAGCTGGGTAGAATGTGCTCCTTCCACTGGTGCTCTGTGACTTTGCCACACCAACAACCTAGGAGGGGGTGACAAATATCACTCTCTTGTCAGTGCAAGAAGTAAAGACTTGGTTAAGAGAAAGGACAGAGCCAGAGGAAATTGAGACTGCTGCCTCAAGGTAGCCATGTTAGCTTTTCACCAATCCCTGCTTCCCCAAACCCTACCCCAGGTGACCTTGCCTTAGGATGATGTCCTTACTACCTGAAGGTGTTCCTCCTCCCCTCCTCTCTCTGACCAGTGCTCCATTGCTCCCCAAAGTCCCAGTGCATAAGCAGCTGGATGTACCTGTCAGGTTTGAGTTCTGTCCTCTGCTTCTGACACCCTCAGCCTGCTGGCTGCTGGAGAAGATGAATGGGTCTGGTTTGTCAGGGTAGACACTGTCTTCAGCCAGCACAGCCCGCCCCCTTCACCCATGAGTCAGCTTCTCAGTTCCTAGTCAGGCAAAGCTGCTAGGAAAGGCCAGATCAACAGGGCTATAAGTACCCAGGTACTGGCAAGTGAAAACATGGGAGAGTCCTTCCTCATTGGCCCTGAAGCCCTTTCAGCCCTTGTGGAGGGGTGGCTAGTACTTGCCTCAGGCTCTGATGCTCTCATAGGCAAGGGCTCAGCACTACATTCACTCACCCCAAGCTTGAAGCCCCAGGGCTCCATCTGAGAACCTGCATGTCCCCAACTGAGTTGCCTAAGGACTCCACAGGGACTCTTTGTGAAAGGGAAGCCAGATGAAAGATTTTACTCCTTGGAAGCCATTAATCTTTTCAACCATTTTGCCCACCTGGAAATAAGGGTGGTCTTAGGTTTGGGGTGTGAAGTGAACAGCCTATTGGGTGAACTCTGAGATGGGTGCATGTTCTTCAGAGCAGGTACCTGTAGGTCACTACTACAGTCACCCAGACCCAGGAGTCCTGGAGGAGGACAGGGCTCCCCTAATGTAAATGAAGCATTTTTCTCCTCCTCCTCCTCTTCTTCCTTGTCCCTGACCTGAAGTGTAGAGGTACTCCTGATTTTGGAATGCTGTCATTGCTGAAGATGGCTGGACCTTCGGTGCCTCATAGTAAGGACCCTGGGTAGAGAGGTAAAGCCATTGGTTTGATGAGCCATATTACCTCCCTATAGCCAGAGGGGTTGGAGTTCATAGCACCCCTGCTCCTGTGTGACTGTTCAGGCGTCAAGTTGTTCTCCCCACCTCAGTATCCCCCAATACCCTGACTACCAGTCGTGGCTGGCTCCATTTTCCCCATCTTCCACTAACCAAATCTGACATCCTGTCTGCCAGCAGAGAGATCTCCCTACGGGCTAGCAACTAGTAGCCACGCTGCCCTGAAAACTCCTTCCCCTGGCTTGGGCACCACCATTCCAGGAAATTCTTCCTATAATCCATGATTGGTTCTGCCACATACTGTTTCACTCTCCAGCCCCAATCAAGAAGACCAAATTCCTTCAAAGCACCTTCCAACTTTTCCTCTGCCCTTGGCCTGTTCCCCATGCCCCACACCAGTCTACCAGTGGCCATCACCCACTCTACCAGAGACCATCTCTGAGCTCCAACAACACATCCTTCTCTCTCATCACCACCTGCTGACATCCAATGGCTTCCATTAGTCACAGTTCTCTAGAATGTATTTACCAGTTTGTTTTCCAGTCATAATTAATTGGTGTTAAACCCAAGATCCCATGATCCATTCCTACTTCCCAGAGCTGGGCATAGCCATGAACAGAAGTACCTTTACATGCATCCTTAATTACTTGAGACACATTGTTCACCACTGAGTTGCTAAAGTGCACTGAGTGGTCTATCCCAGATGGTGATGGGACTGGAGGAATTAGTGACTGGGCACCTGGTCTACAGAGAAGGAGCTTGGAGCTCTGGAAGGTGGCAGTACTATCCTGGACAGCATGAAGCCAATAAGTGTGGTTGCTCAAACTTTCCTCATCTTCATTTACCCAACAGGCCACAGTTCAGATAGAAGGCATCAGTTAAGGGGAGGCCCCCTTTGAGTGACTCTTAGCTGCTGTAGAAAGCAGAAGGCATGTTCTCTTAATCCCTGGGTTGTTTGTAAACCTGGATGATACCCTCCTCCAGTTTTAATAAGGACAGCAGCCATCACTGAAATGGCCAAGAACAGAAGTGACCAGGCCTATCAGTTCTGTAGGCCTGATAGAGTTTCCGGCCTGGGCTGGCTGCGGAGAATGGCCTGTAGGCATCGAAAGGGCAGGGAATGTACCATTTCTGTGTTCTTTCATCTTTTAGACCTTAATTGGCTTAATTGAATTGAGAAACTCCTCAGAGGGGCACTTGAACTTTCTAGCATTTGCTCCATCCTGGCACAAATTGGCCAACATCATGGGGTAGAGAGAGAGCAGAAACCTGTATTGGGTTCCCTGGCTTGGCTCACCCTCATAGCATGACTGTCAACAGGTTGCTACCTCAGAAGATAGTAGGGGTGTTGAAGACAGCACAAGTCCAGACCCATCACACAGATGCCTTCTGGACTCTTCCCTCTGCTGTGGGATGTTCTGTATGGCAAATGTGTTGCTCTGATTGGTTAATAAATAAAACACTGATTGGCCATTGGCTAGGCAGGAAGTATAGGAGGGACAAGGAGGAGAATAAAGCTGGGAAGTGGAAGGCTAAGTCAGAGAGACACTGCCAGCCGCCACGATGACAAACAGCATGTGAAGATGCCGGTAAGCCACGAGCCATGTGGCAAGGTATAGATTTATAGAAATGGATTAATTTAAGCTGTAAGAACAGTTAGCAAGAAGCCTGCCACGGCCATACAGTTTATAACCAATATAAGTCTCTGTGTTTACTTGGTCGGGTCTGAGCGTCTGTGGGACTGGCAGGTGAGAGAGTTTGTCCTGACTGTGGGCCAGGCAGGAAAACTTTAGCAACATCCCTCTAGTGGGGCCTGGACACTTAAATCCCTTCAGATACAAATGGAGAACCCACTCTTCCAGTGACTCAAATCTGCTTGATCAGAAAACCAAGGCTCTTCCTTCCTGGTATTTCTGTCTCTCTCTCTCTCTCTCTCTCTCTCTCTCTCTCTCTCTCTCTCTCTCTCTCTCTCTCTCTCTCTCTCTCTCCTTCTCCCCCCACCCCCTCTCTTTCTCACACACACCACCTTAAGTGGGTTCTCTGCCAGCCCCTTCAATTTAATATGTGTGTGGTTCCCCTGACCCTAGACAGCCCGTGCCCTTCAGGAAGCTGTGCAGTTCCTGCGGGAAGGCTCCTCTGCTTCTAGGCTTCCTCTAGTGACACCACTCTTAACACTGAACTTTGAGTTGTCGATGTCCATGGGACAACAATACCTACACTATCCACCACCCCTTGCTGCAGCTCACTATGCACAATACCTGATTCACAAAGCAGGAATTAGGGCTCAGTTGGGACCAGAGCCCTCAGGCATCAAGTGCTTGTTTGATGGCCGGAGGTGAGTCCCAGCCACCCACACTAGGACACCTTGTTGCTACCCTGAGCAGCTTCCTTAGCAGGTTCAGATGGAACCCTTTGGTCTACTTGTTCTGTGGGGTTTCACAGCCTCATGTTCAGAAGGGTTTAGGAAAAGAGAGCAAAGTCCACTGCCATCTCCCACGTCAGAACTAAAAAAAAAAAAAAAAGCATTAAAATCAAGTTAGAAACAGTTCAGGGCTGTCCTCATCTAGCACCAGACAAGTCTGTGGGGACACATGTCCCATACTAGTGATGGGTCATCTAGCCACCAAGTGCTGCCACTGTTCCTAGGGTAGATACAGCTGGATACCAGCACCAGTGCAGGCCCAAAAGTCCCAGTCCCAAGTTGTTTCCTAGTTTCTGGGCCCTGAGTGATAAGAACAGTCCCCTTACACAAATCAAGTGTATGGCGCCTGGGCTTGCCAATGTTCTGGTGCTAGAGCCAGGTGCAGGACTTAAGGCATCAGTCCATCTGGATGGGCAGGAGGTAGAAGCCTGGGCTGATCTGGTACATGCTTCTACCTTGGGCCCCCTCACCACCCACTAGTATCTCCCTATGGACTCACCAAGTTAGAACTCTTCTTCCAGATATGACTAGGACTCAGCAGTGTGACTCACTGGGGGTTTCTTGAATTAATAGGTGCTGGCCTCTCTCTATCTCCAGGCACCTGGAAAACACCAGCCTGCCCATGTAGTGGAGAAAAGAGATTCAATCCAAGAGCAGGAGCAGAGGCCTAACCCCTGCCTTATAGTCAGACATCCCAGTCACACTTGGACACTGGGTGGGGCCTGGGGCCCAGCTAGGCAGCAGGTGGGGAGAAGGTCTGGGAGGAGGGAATCTTGTAAGTCAGCTGGCTGTCCACTCTTGGGTCTAACATGATGAGGCAGATATAGGCTTGCCTTGGGGCCCTGGGGGTGGCACTTTAATCCTTGATTTCCCACATCTTCCCTCTCAGCACAGGGCTCTTGTCTTCTTGTCCACTTCTGCCCCACCCCTCTGTTTGATGCACCTTGGTGACCACCCAAGGACAAGGCATGCATGCAGCCAGAGAGGGGGAGGGAAGGAAGCAGGCAGAGAACAGCCTCATTAATATTTCAGAGACACTGTCACTGCAGCTCTTGGGCCCTCACAGCCCCACCACTTTTGCTGGTAGAGAGAGGAGGATGGGAAAAGAGAAAGAAATAAAACCGAGAAAACAGATTTAAAGGGACAGCCTCCCCCCACTCCATTCTGTCCTCCCCCTATTCCTGGTACAATCTGTGCACACTCTGCTGTTTCTGCCACTGCTGCAGAATAGCTCTAAGCCCAGAACAGCTTTGGACAAAAACAATAACAACAGAAGAGGGTCAACTGTCACCATGGTACCCCCCTCCTTGCTCACTCATCCACCTGCCTGAAGTTCTGCCCTTGCAAGCAAATCTACGAAGGCCACCTGGAGAATGGCTGGTGACTTTCAGCATGGCAATGGGGACCCCGCTCGTTCTACAGAAAGATAGATGCACATAGGAAAATTAGAAGTCCCTGTTGAGGATCCAGCCAAGGAATATAGATCCCAGAAAAACCCACATCCAGAATCAAGGGGTTGGTAGGGATCCAGACATTGCTTAATTTTACCCTTGCTTGTGGGTAGGTCAACCTCAAACTGATGGCCAGTCACTTTAGTCTCACCTAGGGCAGCCCAGGCAAGATGTGCATGGCCTTCCCTACCTGGAGAACTGCCTACTCCAAAAGGGAGTTTGGGACCTCCACCCAATCTAATACTCCTCAAGAGCATCCCATGCCAAGCCAAGTTTGTGACTATATATTTGTCTGCTTTCAGAGGTTCTGGGAGTGCCCCAAGCTCTCCAGTCTAAAGAGGCCTCAGGACAGAATGATAGATACTGCAACCACAATGCAGTACAGCATGGCAGTTTCTGAAAAAAATTCAGCATCATATTACAGCAGCTCCTCATCTCCTAAGAGTAGGAGGCAGAGACCCACAGAGACTTGTATAGCCCTGTTTGCAAAAACATTACTCACTGTAGCCAAAAAGTGGAAACAGCTCAATGTCTATAGATGGACGACTGAACAAACAGATTGGGTGTGTCTTCATTTGCATATAATGGAACATCAGTCAGGGAATTGCCACACATGCTATAATGTGGTTGACATAAAAGGACAGAGCCTGTCTGGATTCACTTCTGGGAGATCTTGAGAGTTACCAGCCTCATAGAGACAGGCAGTAGGATGATGGGTGCTGAGGACTGGGGAGGAGGATGAGGAGCTGGTGTTTAGTAGGGTTGAGCTAAAGCTTGGGACAATGATCAAATTCTGGAGATTGATGGTATTGATGGTGGTACAGCAGTGAGGATATGGGGCATGCTTTCAAGTCTTTTGGCTCTAATGGTGGAGATGTCCTGTTTTGTGGTGTGTGTGTGTGTGTGTGTGTGTGTGTGTGTGTGTGTGTGTGTTCTATAATGCCAAAAGGAAATAAACCCAACCAGCCATTTTTCTCATTTGTGTCCAAGGTGATAGACAGGAAGCCTGAATGGTCTGCTGTGGTGTCCTAAGTCATATTGTCTCACCCCTGGGCAGGTCAAATCAGTGATCCATTCTGCTGATGTGGAAATGAGCTTTTAGGGAGAACCCTCTTAGGGAAATGTCAACCTAAGTATCCCTCTCCCCATGTGCCCTACTCACATCCCACATCCCCATCCCTGCTACTTGCTGGCTGCTGCTACCATTATTGCCCACCTTCTTGGACCACTTTTGTTTCTGTCTTGTGGTGCTAGGGGCAGACCCCCTTGTCCAAGAATTCTAAACAAGTGGTCTGCCACTGTTATGCCCCAACTTGCTCTTCTGGTTGGAAATGGTTGAAGCAAGCATGTAGTCCCTTTCTTGTAGCAACTGGCAGAGCTTTCTTGGGAGCAGCAAGCCCAGTCCATCCTCAGAAGCAATGATCTAATCACTTGGGGAAATCCTGGCCTCAAGATGGGTGAATTCTGTTTACAAAATATGCCTTTGGAAGCAGATCCTGGTGGTCAAGACTTGTGATTCCAGATACGTAGCAGGCTTGAAAGTTTAAGGCCTGACTGTGCTGTAGAATTAATTTAAGGCCAGCCTGGGTAACTTAATGGGACTCTGTCTCAAAATAAAAAAAAAATAATAAAAGGAAGGCTGGTGTAGTGGTTTGAAAACGGCCCCTAAAGGGAGTGGCACTATTAGGAGGTATGATTTTGTTGGGGTAGGTGTGGCCTTTTGGGGGGGAAGTGTGTCACTATGGAGGTGGGCTTTGATGTCTCATATATGCTCAAGATATGCCCAGTGTCTCAGTTCACTTCCTGATGCCTTTGGATCAAACTGTATGACTCTCAGCACTAGCACCATGTCTGCCTACACACCACCATGCCCCACCATGGTGATAATGGACTAAACCTCTGAAACTGTAAGCCACCCCAATTAAATGTTTTCCTTTATAAGAGTTGCCATAGTCATGGCAACCTTAGTTAGGAACCCTAACTAAGAGAGCTGGGAACACAGCTTCACAGTAGAGCTCTTACTTAGCCATCATGAGGCCCCGAGTTCAACCCCTAGTGCCAAAAATGGCTTTGAGAAGTGCTAATGAACCCCTAGAATGTTCTGGAAGAGACTATATGATATTTTGCTAGCTAGATGTCTTGCTGTCCAGTCCATGACTGTATTTTTGACTCTCTTACAGCTACATATGACCATGTAACTACACTTTGGCCAATTAAATATAAACAGAAGTGACTGGGACAACTTCAAGGTTCAAGTTGAGGCGTGAAAGAGAAGGGACATGTTCTTCCCTGCTCTTCTTCTGCCTGCTGACTGAAATGCTGATGTGAGGATCGGGTGGTAACAGATATCTTGTGTCATCTTGCACATGAATCTATGTGTATCATATAGGAGCCCACATCCCTATATACTAAGAAGCCTTCACAGCAGACACAGATTGTGCAGCTAGACTTCTGTGTGAGCCAGGAATTAACTTCTTTGCTGACAAAGCTGCTAATATTCCTGACCTTCACTGAAGAGGATAACCCCACAACCTAAAGAAATTGGAGATGCAGAGGGAAGAACTAGAGCCTCCACCTTTACTATGTGCCCAATTCAGGCCTGGTTATGGGGAGTTAGGAGGCTTTCCAAACTTTCCAGGATCTGCCAAATCTCACACTTTCATCGGTTCCCTGTAGCATGTGATCATCTGTAGCCTGGCTCCCTCTACCTGTGTTATTTGACACTGTCCTAGATGTTCTAGTCAAAGCAGAGGGAGAAGACAGGACCATAAGAAAGAGAAAAGGTCAGTCCTGTCATATGCAAGCCAAGCCAGTGGGCCGTGTTGAGTACTGTGCACCAAGGCATTGTGTGAATGATTATGATTGCTCTGCACAGTGAGGCTCTATGTCAAGGGATGAGGATGCCTATTGTGACATCTAAGGAATAGAGATTGAGGTGCTTATTCAGGGTCATATTGCTGGCAAGGAGTAGAGGCTGATGTAAACTTGGGTAATCTGGCTTCAGATTCTGTATGGCTCTTCTGCTAAATGACTGCCCAGAACATCCAAGAAAGCAATGGACACCTGATTAGAACCAATTCAAAGAGTTAATAAAGTGGCTGGATAGGTTGTGTCCTTGTGCAGCTCAAGCACTGACTGCAGAATCATTCAGCCTATCTGGAAACAGGACTTCATTTTTCCTTGCCGAGTTGGTATGCACCCAGTGCAGATCTTCATGGGGCTTGATCTGTTTCTCTGGAGGCTTCCCCCTGACCATTAGGCCAGGGAAAATAAAGCAGGGCAAGGCTCTTTGTTCAGTCTGTCAGTTCTGCTTCACATGTCTTTCCCAAACCTTTTACCTTTGTCTATCCTGAAGCTGATATCAACCAGACCCCAGAGTTCAAAGGTCAGGACCAGGCTCCACTGCTGAAGCCAGAACATTCCGCTTGGCCTCAGGGTGGGGCCTCCCAGGATGTTTTCCATTTTAGGGGCCATCCCTAGGCCTGCTTGGATCCCACATGGCTCTGGGGTCCCTAGAATATTTTTGTGGGATGAGTCAACATGCCCACACAAGTGGTTCTTACAGTGCTGCATGGCCCTGAGTTACAAAGGCAAGTTAGAAACTCCCTTCTGGCTGGGACTATGCAGTATGGTTACCGGGGTCATGACTCTACATGGAGAAAGGGGACAATCATTTGTTTTCTGCCAGAGAAGGCAGAAGCTGAAAAAGGAGAGAGCTAGGGAGCAGGAGCTGGAGAAGCCGATGGGCAGGAAGCATAATGACACTAATTATCCAATTACAGCGAGCTGTGCGGGCAGAGAGCTGCATTGCAGCAGGAGCCAAGTCAGGCCCGCGCCCCGCCCCCACACGGTTCTTGCACACGCAGGCCTTCACTTCCCTCCTGCTCTGAAGCACAGACAGTTGGGCCACCCTTCGGTCTCTAGAGAGGTAAGGAGACCAAAAGCCACCATGGCTAGCCTCTGTGAAAGCCTCCTACCCAGGAGGCAGCAGGTTCTAATCCTCCAGCCCTTCATATCCAGAAAACTCCCTGCTGGAAGGAAGGACACCCAAGTCTCCCAGCTCTTCTGGCTACTGTGGTACCAGTCCAATGCCAGAGTCATCCTAACAACCGGAAATAGCCAAGGTCTAAACAGGTAATTAAGGAAATTATAGACAGCTGGAAGC